ATGAATCTTGATGTGAATGGAAGGGGAAAAGGAGCGGGAGAGGGGAGGGTTGCAGGTGGGAGGGAAGTTATGGGGGGGGGGAAGCCATTGTAATCCATAAGCTGTACTTTGGAAATTTATATTCATTAAATAAAAGTTAAAAAATAAATAAAAGAAAGTACTGTAGCGCAGTTTGAAAGAAAGTAACTGCACAGTAGAAAAGTAACCACTCTAAAAATCCAGCTGCCTTTCTAGAAAGGCTCAAAGAGGGTCTTGGTAAGTATACTGATTTAGATCCTGACTCTGCTGTAGGAAATGCCATATTAGGGGATAGGTTCCTAACTCAAGCTGCCCCTGATATTAGAAGAAAGCTTCAGAAATCAGGGTTGGGTTGAGCACCCCCTTGACTGACATCATAAAGGCTGCCTCCTTGGTCTACTTTATTAGAGACCAGGAGAAAGAGGAGCAAGCTAGCAACAGGCCAATCAACGGCTGCTTTACACGGCGATCTGCTGTCAAGGAGACCCAGCAAGGCCAGTGCACCCCAAACAGCACCTGTTGCTGATATAAGGAGTCAGGGCATTGGGCAAGCAGCTGTCGTGATAACAACTGCCTTCTGTCAGCTCTACCAAGAGCAAGACCACTGGACACAGAACTGCCCTGGGTATCGAAGGACTCCTGGTTCAGAACCGTAGACCTTGTGGCACCAAGCTAAAAAGCCTTTGGCTCTGCCCAGCCTCTGCCCAGCTTCCAGCTCCAGCCACTGCAATTGAGGGGATGGCCTAGGGTCAGTGAAACGTAAGTTGCCTATTTCTATCAGCCTCCTATTCAGCTCTCCTCCTAGTCCAGCCATGTAATGCAAGTCAACAGGGGGCCTCCCTTAAAGGAGATTTGCATCTCTTTCAATTCTCTTCCAGCACCCCATGGATAGGTCTGGGCCTCACACACCTAGCTAGGCCTTAAAAGTCTATCCAATAGTATTAAGCTTAGAAAGCCTTCCCTGCCAGTTCCTAAAAACAGGGCTTTCAGTAACAGCTAACTCAGTCCTGCAGCTATTTGGACAGGTCCTCACTGAGGACTTAAAGGGCCTATCTCTTGAGGGGGGTGCACAATTATCCATAGTGTAGATGATTAAATGTAAATGATTTGTTAGTCTGTCTCCTTTCCCAGCCTGAGACTCTAGTCTTGTACATTGGCTTAACTTCCTAGCAAAACTAGCTACTGGGTATCCAGAGGAAAACAAAGCATAGCTAGTCCATTATTTAACCCTTATCCTCACCCCTGGGGAGAGAAAACCTGCCCCAGAGAGGATATGGGCCATGCAGCAAATTCCTACTTCTGCAAACTTCAGGCAGTCCCAGCTTTTCTCTATCAGGTTACAGGTTCCTAGATACAGGGAAACAGCACAGTTCCTAAACCAGGCTCTCGACAGGCAGCTAAAGCAGAGCCCCCTCCTTTGGGGGAAAGAGCAAACCACAGCCTTTGCTCAGCTAAAGGATGCTATGACTAAAGCCCCTGTGCTAGGACTGCCAAACCCAGAGAGACCCTCCCAGCTGTACTTCACTGGGAGGCAGGGAGTCACCTTAGGAGGGTTAACTCAGGATCTGGGACCTGCTAAGCAACCTATGGGCTACTTTTCTAACACTTTAGACATGACTGCACAAGGATGGCCTCACTGCCTAAGGATGATAGCAGCATCTCTCTTCACTCTCCAAAATCAGATCAACTCTTTGGCTGTAGTTGTTCTCCAAAACAGATGAGCGTTGGACATGCTAACTGCCGCTCAGGGAGGTGCCTGTGCCATGCTCCAGAAAGAATGTTGTTTCTGGGTCAATCAGACAGGTACAAATCCAAATTCGTACTTTTCCTGAACAAAGCCAAACAGCTCCAGGACCAGGCCAAGCAGGGCTGGGATTTTTGGCCTGACATCTAGTCATGGAAATCCTGTCTATTTCCTCTCCTTGGCCCAATAACTTCTGTAATCTTGATGCTTCTCTTTGCACCGAGTGTTTTTAATGCCCTTGTTCTGTTTTGTCTCTAACAGACTAAAAGCTGTCGAACTCCAAATGGTCGTCAGACAAGGCTTCCAGCCCATTCCATTGGACGACCTGAGCAGCCCTCTGGACCGAGCAGCACAATCTTTCCAAGGCCACTGTTGTACACCATAAGACAGACAGCAAGAGGAAATACCCTAATCCCCTTCGACGCCCATATGCCAGCTTTGAAGAAGTTACAGAAAACGGAATTCCACCCATAATTCCAAAGAAGAATTTTGGGTATTGCCTCTTGAGGGGGGAATGTTAGGTAGGAAGTCAGTTATGAGCTTGTGTGTGTGTGTGACATAAAGGCAAAAAGAGAAGACATCTACGTCCAGCATATGCTGCTTCTCAAAGTCATCCTGACAATGTTTCAGGGGCAGTCCAGTATTCACTTCCTGCCCTGCCCTGTCCCCTTCTACCTGATAACCTGCCAGGTGGGGTGGGGGGTCCCCACCCCTTCTGCCTGACAAATCTTCCACAATCTCCCAGGTGCAGCCCAGTATCTGCATTTCAAATACCCTGCTCCAGATCCCAATTCTCTAGGGGGTCCTGCCCACCCTTCCTCCTGTCTGATAATATTTGCATCCATAAAGTCCTTTGTTTCAGCCATAAAGTCCTTTGTTTCAGGAGGAAGTGTGTGAAGCAAGACCCATCTCCCTAAAAACCCCCGGCCTCAACCGGACTGCACGCTCAGCCCTCTGCCTCTATGCTGAGTCGCCCGCTTGGTCTGGCCAGGGGTAATCTCCACCCAACCATGTAACCTCGCTCCTTCCCTGCCCCCAGTCCGAGCGACTGGGCACCCTCTCAGGCTCTGTCTGGAGAGGTGCCCATCCTTCTAAAAAAAAAAAAAAAGAAAAGAAAAAAAGAAAAGTAACTGCTCTAGAGCGTTAAGTTTGAAAAGGGATGGCCTGATTGGATGGCTTAACCGAAAACCACAAACCAACTGTCACAACTGTCATTGCCATGACTATGGGACCTTGGGAGGTCAGCGGGTGGGTGGGGCTAGCCTCTAGAAACTGTATATAAGGGGACCCTCAGACACTGTAAAGCAGAGGTTGCTCAGCCTCTCTCTCCCTGGTTCGTAGCGCCTTGTGCCTGCGGGGAGAAGCTCCTGGTCCGTAGCATCTACTGCCCCCAGGAGTTGGCTTGAGCGATCTCTCCTCCTAGTCGCCTAGAGTACCAATAACGTGTGTTTAACTTGACCTTCCTCAGTCTCCTCTTCCTTTGTGGCAACCTGGCCAGTTCCCAGAGGGGGAGATCCTGACAAAGGTTGAGATGGAATCTTCATGGACAGACCTCTACAGTTGTGTAGATGACGTTACAAGCCGCCCCAAAATGTCTTTTAATATTACTTGTAAGCAATATGTATAATACATTATTAAACTTTTAGGAAAAATAACAACAGAAGTGTACTAATAACAAACTATTGGTTAAAGAAATCTAATTTGTCTAATAAAATACAATAATATAATTTTTGTAATCTTCCTGATCTTAAAACTGTCTCCTTCACCTACTGTCCTCAGGTGACTACAGATCTACTTTCTGTCACTATAATCTGTACCATGCACAATTGTGTATAAATGGAATTAAACAGCATGGGTTCTTTTTTGGTCTGGGTTATTGCACTCAGCATACTTACTTTGAGGCTGTTTTAATTATGTTGCCACATGTATCAATGGGGCTAGAGAACCTTTTTCTGCCAAGGGCTATTTGGATATAACATCATTCGTGGCCATACAAAATTATCAACTTAAAATTTGGCTTGCTGTAGATTTACTGAACTTGGACTCTTGCCTGAGGTTGCCTTGGCAGGGCTGGACCAGATGGTTTTGGGGACCACCTCTGTATCCCTTTTTCATGCTCAGTAGTATTCCATTGTTTGGATATATTACAATTGTTCTATCCCCTCAACAGTTTTTGCACATTTTAGTTGTTTCCAATTTTAATCATTCCAAGGAGAGACGCTAGAAAAATTTTTGTCCAGTTTTTTTGCATACAGATATATGACTACTTTTCTCTTGAGTAAATAATTAGGAGGAGAATGGCTGGATCATATTGTAATTATATGTTTAAATTTTCTAAAAATTGTCAAACTGCTTTCCAAAAATGATTACCAGTTCACATTTCTGCCATCAATATAAGAGAGTTCCTATTATCAATACTGTGTGAGTTCTAAGATGTATAAAGAAATTAGTTCTGTGAGAGTCAAGTCATAGAAACTTGTAAAGAGAGATCACTAGGTAGTTTCTACAAGGGCACAGGGCACTGGAAATTTATAAACAGCAGTCATCTCAGAGGTCATTAGAAAAACGTCCTGTGTGTTCTGTGAGATAATCTGACTTTAAGGTGCATGGGAACTGCATACAGTGGCAAAAAGGAACCCTATGCTTCAGTATTAGTATTTAGAAACTTTATCTTTTAGAAGATAAATAACAATTATGGTAAGGTTTCTTTTTGCTAAATTGGTAATTAGATACTATTTACCTGCTAATCTAAAATATTAGTTATGCACGAAGTACTCAGTTTACATTTTGAATGCACTGAGTTCAACCACATTCCCCTGTATCTAATATTTTTCTTACTATATAACACTAGCAATCAAAGGCACACTTACAGGGCCCAATTAGGTAGACGAGTATGGAATCATGGGCTTCAACTCTGGCCCTACCCTTTATTAACTTGGTGAACTTGGGTAAGTTATCCAATTTCTGCGCCTCAGTTTCACTCTCTACAAAATGAGGATTATACTAACACTAGTCTCACAGGGTTGTTGTGAGGATGACAGCACTCAACTCAGAAGAATATTTAGTCTAGAATAAGAATTAAGTTAATGACAACTGTCACCACTATTACTACTACTACTTATCTTACTATGCTAAAATGTGAGGCAGAGGCTTTTCACTGATATATCCACAATGACCCAAACAGCACCTGCACAGAGTAGAAATTCAGTAAATGTCTGAATAAATTATTAGTGAAAGCATTAAGGTAACTGTTTCACAGATAGTATTATATTTATGCTTCATCATAACCTTACAAGGTAGAGACTAATAGTCTTATTTTATTGATGGGAAATAGAGGCTTATGAATGGATCAAGTTACTTGCTACGGTCAGACAGAACTTATAAACCCAGGTCTATTGGGCTCTAAATTACATGGTCCACTCTGTTGTACTATTTTCTTATTATACATTGAATTTTAGAGATGTTTTCATTTAAATAGAATTTTTTCACTTAGAGAAATGCTGCAACATGTTCTGGAGGGGCAAGAAAAACACTGGATTGACATCATCCAAACGTGCTCTTCAGAACAAAAAATTAGTTACTTCTCCACAACTGTCGTGTCATGAAATGAACAGATCCTTACCATTAGCTTTGGATGACTTTGGGGTTGAAACAGTAGACATCTTTGAACTGGGGATCACTGGATGGCCATCTCTGGGTTGTAAAAAGTGAAAAGACAATTGCAAACTATTTAAGATCTTTGTTTAAATATCCTTTTAACCGTCTGTTAACTAACCTCAGAAGTTTTATTTTGAACAGATTTCAGAGGACCTACGCATCCCCTGAAACTGAGGATAAATTTTATGAGAGTCTACATCTATACATTCTCTGGATAAAGATATTCTTGATAGAAAAAAGATCAAGAATCACTTCATTACCCAATCTTTCCTTGGGTTTCAGCTTAATTCTTCACCCCATTTCCTCTCTTATTTACAACACGGGTAATTTTTATGATCTAATAACTTAGTTCACTATCAGTAGATAGTTCATCACTAACTTACAAGGCATAGTTCATGAAGTTTTATGTATAAAGCCTGATGTGTATTTTCCTTTTATTCTTTTTGAAATTTTAGCTGATTTTTATGTGTCTTTCAGATTATTTAAAGTAAAAATCTCGATGGCACATTAATATTCAAAAGAAGAATAGTCTATCCAAAGTAAGCAGCAGCCAACAATGCTTGTATAGCCCCTTGGAAATAGGGGATTAGCATGCAGTCTTATTGCTGATACTTGAGGGAAGAGGAAGGTTTCCTAAGTTACACGGAATCAGGAGAGCCAATATGCCATTGATGTTAAACATTCCTGTACTTATGCTCTTGCTGGGTAGCCCCAACATGCAAAGCACTGATTTCTTTTTATCTGGGCCATTTATCATGGTTCTTTTTGCAATAAACATCAGCTCTGGCCCTTGCAGCCATCTGGGGAGTGAAGCAGCAGATGGAAGATCTCTCTCTCTCTCTGTAACTCTGACTTTCACATAAATAAATAAATCTTAAAGCAAAAACCCCCAAAGTCAAAGTTCACTTTTATTTTCTGTTACCTGCAACTGAAAACATCCTAACTGATAAATGTGGTAACTACTCTATTAACTACAAGCATGTGTTCAAACACTTACCACTTAATGTTCTTAGAATCTGTTCAAATTTTACTAAGACCTACCAGATTAGTCTTTTGAGGACATAAGTAAAACCAACAACCTGAAATGCATGCACACACATAAACAAAACCCACAAATAATTGCTGAGTACCTTGTTGCTTTCAGCACCACTGAAGGAAGTGACATGTCCAATGCTCTGTTAGCTTCTTCCAAGGTCATTCCTTGTGTGCTGACTCCATTCACATAATGGATAATATCTAATAGCTGGAGATTACCCTCAATAGCTGCAACTGAACTTGGGTTAATATCACTAATATATATCACTTGATGAAAGCTGTCATGACTTCCAGATAAAGAAAAACCTTAAAAGAAAAAAGAACATATTTGTTTTCTCAGTCATCAGAGCACATACTCTTAATCTAGCTGAGAAAATCTTACTGCACAAAGCTTAAATTTTCATTACCCAAATCCTCTTTGTTGCATGTTAATGTAATATCAGGTAGCAAATGAGGCAACACTGGCATCCTGGGTAATTCTAGAATCCGTCCAAGCACTAATCTGACTGTCTTGGGTGCAGCTCGGAGCAGATTCACGGCATCTGTGTGAGTCATGTTTGTAACATCTGTATCATTAACCTACAAAAATGAGAAAGGGACAAGTAATGATTACAACTTTTAGAACAGAGGAGGTAAATTGCCAAGAAAAGATGATAATATCTCTAACATTTTATATATGTTAGCTAGTAAGAAGTTCACAATAAAGAATGGTGTCTGATTTATTGGAATCCTTTTTGGACATCATAAACACAATCATCAAGCAATTATAAATGATAAAATAATGTAAATTCCTAACAAAGGCATCATTATTTTGCTAATACAAGAAATTTATCTTCTGAGTAATTTAAGAAATTTTTTGTCTCTCAGACTTGACACAGCTTTATGCTTTAACTGAGATACAAGGGACTTTCAAATTAAAAAGGGAACTTTTTTTCATTAAGCTGTTGCCTGTATAAAGGCCTTTACTTTTAAATGGTGGAGAAGGAAAATGAACCAAATGTCATATTAATTCAACCTTCTTCCTTCTCCAGTCCTAGCTTGCTCTTCTGTCACATTTGCACAAATTTTCCATTCCTTTCAAATGTCCCACCTTGGGGTAGGCAATGTGGTGTAGCAGATAAAGCTGCGCTCTGCGGTGCTGGCATCCCATTTGGGTGCCTGTTCAAGTCCCGGCTGCTCCACTTCTGATCCCACTCTCTGCTATGGCCTGGGAAAGCAGCAGAAGATGGCCCAAGTCCTTGGGCCCCTGCACCCATCTGGCAGACCTGGAAGAAGCTCTTGGCTCCTGGCTTCAGATTGGCGCAGCCGGCCGTTGCGGCCAATTGGGGAGTGAACCAGCAGATGGAAGACCTCTCTCTCTCTCTCTCTGCCTCTCTATAACTCTGCCTTTCAAATAATAAGTAAATCTTTAAGAAAAAGTCTCACCTTTAGGAGCCTATCTCCAGGTTTTAGCCTTCCATCACTTTTGGCTGGATCCTGTAGTACATCATGCACATAACAACCAATACTCTGATTGCCTTTGGTTACCGTAAAACCCAGGCTTCCTTTTTCTGATTTAATTAGGGTGATTAGGAGTTCTACTTCCTAAAGAGAGAAAACAGGGATTCCTTTAGGTTGTCTATTTGGCCCTACAGATAAACAGAAAGGTAACCGTTAATTCCCTTGATTAACAGAGGAGAAAACCAAACCTTAAAACTTAATTTGACCACGTGAAGCCTATCTCCCCACCCTCACAATGCATGCGGAAGCTGGGTTCAGTACAACACTGTGGAACTGACTAGAGACAGCAGAGACAGGCTGTCCGTGCTTCCATTCTACACTCAGGCTAACTGTGCACACCACAGTGCTTATGATAATCAGAGAATACTTTTTAGGGGAAAAGGTTCAGAAAGATTCTTTATCTGTTTCTGAACAACCAAGATAGATGCCTAGAGCCCTAAAAGGAAGTGTTTTTTTTTGGGCAAAAACATGAAATTTTTGGATGGTTATACATATCACAACTTCATTTTTTTATATATGCAAACAAAAATAATTTTTAAGACTTCATAATGCTTGCTTACACTGGTAATGACAGATTTCTAAGAAAATTGATTAAAAAATCATTATTTTTATTTTGTTAAGAATGAAACTGAAGGTATATGCATAATAAACACACAATTATAGGTAAACAAAATATCTGGAATGATTAACTCTAAAATGTTTATGATTTTTGAGTTGTGAGATTATAGATGGTTTTAATCTTTTATACTTTTTCTACAATAAGAATTTTTAAAAAACAGTATTGAAAAACACTCACTTTCTGCATGTAAAGGATATTATACTTGGAGATCTGGTTTCCAAACTTAACCTGTAGGTTTAGAAGTTCTAGGGCTATTTACAGAATAAAGGATTCCATTTGGGCACACAGAGAACGTGTGGAGGGGAAAATAAACTACATTTAGACTTGATTAAAAATTAAATAATGCATAAGAATTTGAGAAAGAAACATAATGTTTACTAAGCATCTAGTCTCTAGCATGTACCATACTAGGTGCTTTGCTTAAGTTATTTCACTTGATTCTCACCATCATTCTATGAGAGTATGGCCCCCATTATATAGGCAACACTACTACAACTCCAAAGAAGTGATCTGTTTACAGGCATCTGCCTAATTACAGCAAGTTGATGGTAGAATCAAGATTTGTACACAGATCTTTTTGTCCTTTTTCCTAATTTCTCAGCAGAGAAACCATGTTAGATATGTTATTCATTTATTAGACACAGATATGAAGCTACTCAAAACAATAGCTTTCTTTTCAACAGGAAAACATTGTGTATCTTCATTGAGAAAATACAGAAATTTTTTTTTTTTTAAATACAGAGCAAGTAACTCACCAGCTCAAAGTCTTCCAGGTGGTCTTCTAGTTCATTTTTCGAAGCTGTTGTCAAGTTTTCCGATCTGGTCACTTCAGAAGTCTGATGTACATATTTTTCCACTGGATTGTTGTCAATGGATTCTGACTGGGGTTGACAACTGTGCCCAGGAGTCACAGCCATTGGTACAGGGGAAGGAGGATTACTGGAGACAAAGAAACAAGACTATTTTCAAATATACTTCAATGCCAATAAGCCTGTATCACAAAAGAAAATGTTTAACAAATATTCATGCCTGGTTTTGATTGAGATCTTAACTACTTTTTTGTCTGACCCTGGACTATGAATTGATTCCACATTTGCTACTTGCTAACATTACCATTTTTTTTTTCTGTTCAGGGTCTATTTTGAAGAAGCTCTACAAGTTGCATAAAGTCAGTAAGAGAGGTTAAATAAATATACTTTCGATTCCCAGTTATTAATTCAGAAGCTAAAGCCAATGTTATCAGAAGCCTATGTTTCAACATAATAATGAAAAGAAGAGATTAAGAACAAAATCATACTCCTGTAGTTATTTTGAATGATAGATTAGGAAAAAAAAAAAACCTGAACAAAAATGCTTGGATCTGGATAAACACAAAGACATATTTATACAGTAAAATATATGAAAAACTGTTTGAGGTACAGATTTGGTATTTCTCTTCATTTTCTTGTTAAAATTTTGATTTATTTATTTAAAAGGCAGAGTGACAGGGAGAGGGAGAGACAGAGAGGGGGAGAGAAGAGGGAGAGAAGGACAAGGAGAAGGAGAGGGAGGGGGAGGGAGGGACGGAGAGATCCACTTTATCCATCTTTCATCCACTGATTCATTCCCCAAATGATGCTATGGCCCAGGCTGGGCCAGGCTGAAGCTAGGAGCCAGGAACCCCATCCTGGTCTCTTATGTGGCAGGGGCCCAAGTACTTGGGTATCTTTGCTGTCTTCCCATGCACATTAGTAGGGAGCTGGATTGGAAGCAGAGCAGCCAGGTCTTGAACCATTACTTCAACAGTGGCCTAACCTGCTGTGCCACATTGCCAGTTCTGTGGTCTTTTTTTTTTTTTTTTTGTATTTGTCTATGTTTTCATTCGTGTCTTCTTTCCCCATTTAACGTGTCCTCCCATTTGCTAACTCTCTACCTTTTCCTATCCATAATTTCCCTCTGCATTATCCTAAATAAACTTTTTCTTAAAACTTTTTTTTGTTGTTGTTGACAGGCAGAGTGGACAGTGAGAGAGACAGAGAGAAAGGTCTTCCTTTGCCGTTGGTTCACCCTCCAATGGCCGCCGCGGCCAGCGCGCTGCGGCCAGCGCACCGTGCTGATCCGAAGGCAGGAGCCAGGTGCTTCTCCTGGTCTCCCATGGGGTGCAGGGCCCAAGCACTTGGGCCATCCTCCACTGCCCTCCCGGGCCACAGCAGAGAGCTGGCCTGGAAGGGGGGCAACCACAACAGAATCTGGTGCCCCGACTGGGACTAGAACCTGGTGCCGGCGCCGCTAGGTGGAGGATTAGCCTAGTGAGCCGCAGCGCCGGCAAAACATTTTTCTTAATATTAGCAAATATGTTCAGGGAAGAAGCAAGACTCAGCTTGACTGGTTAGGCAGCTTACCAGTTTTCTAACTAAAATTCAATCCCATCAGGGAGATATCTGATAAAGTCATCATTTGGCTAATCATTGTGAAGTTCATAAAAAGATATATTTCATTCTTCAAGAAATGTGTGTTGCTGCTACTCTTGTTAACAACCAGTTTTTCTGAGTATTACACATAATATTGACAATACCTGTCTTCAAATTCAGTTTTACTGGGCATTTTCTGAGGATAGTAAAACATTGTACAAATGATATCTTCTTGACTGTTGGGTTTTTCATGTTGACTTGGTGCCTGTGATACCATGTTGCTTAGAGTCTGATGCAAAGTTGACCTCCAGGTCGTATCTGATATCTTTGCTGGAGCTTTCACTAGGTCATCTTCTCCACTTCCACTGCTGTCACTGTAACTGTCTCTCCTGGATGGAGACCTGCGTTGCTTCTTGCTTCTGTCAGACATTTCATTTTCATCTGAGCTGGTGCCTTGCTCCGCACAGGATGGTTGAGAAGTGTCTTTACTGCAGTTGGGAAGTACTTGAGCTGGGGAATGCAGTGGGGTCTATAAGAGACACATTTAAAGAGCTCAGAGGGTGACTCTGAAAACAAACACTCAACAGAAAATCAACTTGCTAAATAACAGTCCTTTCTACTAAAATATTCCATTAATTTAATAAAAGTAATTTATGCATTAAGAGTTCCATTCAGTTCTTGTGCCCCAATCAAAGTACCTCTTAAAATGCTATGCATTTTTACAGAAATGTTACTTTTCTATTAATGTGTTACTAACACTTCCTTTCACTCCAGTATAAGGGCTAAGGCATGTGGCACAGATACTACTGCCTTTCAAACTCAACAATCATGGTTTGTTGGTAAGAAAACACTATTTTCAGTAGACAGGCCAAAGGCAGACTTTCTTTAATTATCTTAGTGCTCACTTATGTTTGGACTCTTACCTGTCATTATGAAATTTGCACAAATTTCATACATAATCATCAAAATAGATTTTTGGATAATTTAGCTATTCCTTGCCATAAAAAAAGGTAAATGGATAAGCGTATCCCTTTCTCTATGACTTCTAATTTTTTTTTACTGATTTATTTTTGATGTAATGTTTTGCTTTGTTTTTAAGACTTATTTCATTTACTTGAAAGGCAGATTTACAGAGAAAGAGGGAGAGAGAGAAAAGCGAGGTTCTCCATCTGCTGGTTCACTCTCCAAATGGCCACAAAGGCAAGGGCTGGGCCAGGCTGAAGCCAGGAGTCAGGAGCCTCTTTCGGTTCTCCCATGTGGTTGCAGGGGCCCAAGCACTTGGGCCACCCTCTCTCTGCTGCCTTCCCATGTGCATTAGCGGGGAGCTGGATTGGAAGCGCAGCAGCTGGGACCCATATGGGATGCTGGTGCTGCAAGTGGCTGCTTTTACCTGCTATGCTACTGTGCTGGCCTTGACTTTTTTTTTTTTAAAGGCTAAAAATTTTAAAATAACTTGTATTTTAATCCAGAGTACTCAGAATTAGAACTACTTTTCTTTGTTTGATTCAATGAAGAAATAGACCCAGCTAAGACTTCTAGCCAAAGAAGTAGCTATGTTAATCCATGATACGGCTACTACAGCTAAATTAGTCAATAACTAAATTGATATTCTATAAAAATATCAAGTACTTTTCATAGGTCTCACCAAGAAAGCAGTGTCAATTTCTGGAAGCACACCAGGTGGAGGTCTGCACAGAAGCAAGGATACCTCAGGAGCTGTTCCCCTGAGAGCAGATATGACTTCCTAGGGGAATCACCAATGACAAAGGAAGGGACAGTTAAACCAGTCTAGTGAAACCATCCCGACCAGCCACTCCCCTGGACACCTGCTGCTCTCAGGGTGTGAGGCGCTCACCTGCTGGGATAGTCCTTTCAAGGAGGCTCCATTTACTTTCAAGATAACGTCACCCACGTCAATCTGTCCACTTTCTGCAGCAGGCTGTCCAGGAAAAAGCTTTTTAACTCTCACTATGCTGGCATTTATTTGCTCGGGTATAAGATTATCTTCTCGAGAAAAACTGAATCCTAGGCCTGAGCTATTTTTAAATAACTTTACCTCAAATGTATTTTCTGGAAGAAAAAAAGACATAAAAATAGAAGTATTCTGAAAGTGCTGTGTATAGGTATGAACATACAAACATATTTTGAAGCACATTTAAAAAGCCCAGTTCCCATGACATTTACAGTTCTCTATGTACTTTTTGTACCCTATTTCACACTCTTTATCCTGAAGAAAACTCAGTGTACTAACTGCAAAAACCAAGGGGTTTGCATAGAACATAGTTCTAAAAGTAGACTTCTGAAAATAAAATTAAGCTTCAACCCATGTGCTTTATAGGGCAGCATAAAAACGGAGAGAGAAAACGGGATAAATCCAGGGAAAAAGAGATGGGAGAGAAATTCAGGGAGACAATAAGAGAGAGATCATTAAGAACAGCTAAGTAAATGATAGAAAAAGGTATGGGAAAATAAATTAACACTACAGTATTTTGGTGAGATGTAATTTAATCTAGATAAATTGCAATGATATCCCAATAAAATTATATGCAACAAAATAAATGAAAAGCACACTAACCAGGAAAGAATGAGAAAACGTATTTAAACAAAGAATAGTGAAAGAGATAAAGAATAAAAAGCAACATAATAAAGTTGGGACATGAATTTTGTATTCATATTCAGGAAAAATAATACAGGCTGGACTCTTTTTTTCTTTTTTTGGGACTGACTCAGAGTTTCTAACATTTCTGTCATCAGATAAACAAATAAACATGTGTGTCATCAAGTAAGAAATAAAAAAGAAAAAAAATGATTTTATACTATCAGCAAATTTTATAAAGGACATGTAAGCCCCTCAAAAGGAAGAAAGAAGGAGCTCCAGAATAAAGGGTCCTTTAGTATTATCAGTATATCTAACTTTATGAAAAACTCACTACTACACCTTTCTTGATTTTACTACTAATGAGTAAGATGATCAAAGGCTGGCATAGGTGATAAGAAAGACCAGTATCTGGGGACCAGTAAGTGAATTTCTGTTTAGGGTTAGCTTCATAAATCCACAGAAATATAGAAAAGAGTCAAGGTTTCATATGGGTTTAAATCCATGCTCAGCAATTATTCATGCTTTTTTTTTTATCCAAATTTCACCTTTGAATTGACAAATATTTAAGTAACACATTATTAAAATGACATAATCATTCAGGTCTTCAATATCCAATTTCTTCCTTCCTTCCTTCCTTCCTTCCTTTTTTTTTTTTTTTTTTTTGAAAGGCAGAGCTGGACAGTAAGAGAGAGAGAGACAGAAAGGTCTTCCTTCCGTTGGTTCACGCCCCAAATGGCTGCTACGGCCGGCCTGCTGTGCTGATCCGAAGCCAGGAGCCAAGTGCTTCCTCCTGGTCTCCCATGGGGTGCAGGGCCCAAGGACTTGGGCCATCCTCCACTGCCTTCCCAGGCCACAGCAGAGAGCTGGACTGGAAGAGGAGCAACCAGGACAGAATCCGGCGCCCCAACTGGGACTAGAACCCGGGGTGCCGGCGCCGCAGGCGGAGGATTAGCCTAGTGAGCCGTGGCGCCGGCCTATTATCCAATTTCATTATCAGACTCCATGAATGACAAATATGTTTTTTTATTCAGTATGGTACTGCATCACATTATTAGTTATACTTGACAAAAATAACTAAAGAGACTAAGGTATAAATCATATTCCAACGTGTAAAAATCCAACTTTGATTAAATCAGGAATCATTAGATAAAAAGACAGTTTTCTAAGGCCTGACCTTCAGTGACAAAGCTGTAGTCTTTGACATGAGTAGTTTTTTTCACCATTTTTTCTGGGGCTTGACCTTGGGTATCCTGATATGGAAGGGTGCACTGTGGGGTCACAGGGACACGTTCTTTGGATGGTGAAGACTGTCCCTTTTCTAACAACAGATGAACCACCTGGACAAATGGAATAGCACTTCATTAATTCAAAAGAATAAGAAAATAGATAACATTTCAGGGTTGTGTATAGTTAATAGTATAAAATGATTTAAAATAACTACTGGTTCCCCAAAATAGTAGTGGGAGAAAAAAATGAGACCAAAGTGATTGAAGTTTCTAAATCAAGTTTCTGTATAAAAAGTTAAATTAAAAAGAAAAAAGATCTACTTTAAAAACATGTCAAAATCTATGATAATAACATAAACATGTAATAGAAAACTTGGCTATTAGGGAAAAAACACCACTCCACTATAAAAACTACTATGAATAATTTAGTAAAGGCCATGACTCAAATGTACTTGATTAAATAAATTTAACCTTTGGGCTGAAGACTAAGAATGAAAATTACCAGAAATTAGTTGATGCCTATTAAATTTTTAAAAATACAATCTCTACCCCAATGTTTGTGAGCTTCCTTTGGTAATTATAGGGCTAAATGTCATATAGAAAGCCAGCTTCCTCAGCAAAAAACCTCTTGTTGCAATACTTGCTTCCAACCAGAATACTTGTAACCAATCAGAATTGTTATATGTCAGTCTTCATTTCCTGACTAATTGACAAATAAGGTTGATAATACTGACACATGAGTATTTATCTTCTTCTAAGGTTATCATAGAAGGTTGGTATAATGATCGATTACCTGTCCTGTATTTCTCAGTGTTTCCACAGCTTGTTTATGTGTAGCTCCTTCTAGACTAACTCCGTTGACAGCTAGGACACGATCACCTATAAATCAGGCAGTTATTTTGAAAGAAACAAAGCATAAAATAAATATTTTTACATGAACTTTTTTTTTCCTTTTTGACAGGCAGAATGGATAGTGAGAGAGAGAGACAGAGAGAAAGGTCTTCCTTTTGCCATTGGTTCACCCTCCAATGGCCGCCGTAGCCGGCGCACCACGCCGATCCGAAGCCAGGAGCCAGGTACTTCTCCTGGTCTCCCATGCGGGTGCAGGGCCCAAGTACTTGGGTCATCCTCCACTGCACTCCCGGGCCACAGCAGAGAGCTGGCCTGGAAGAGGGGCAATCGGGACAGAATCCGGCACCCCGACCGGGACTAGAACCCGGTGTGCTGGCGCCACAAGGCGGAGGATTAGCCCAGTGAGCCACGGCGCCAGCCTTTACATGAGCTTTAACATCTGCCAGTCTTATATAGAATTATTTAAGGAGAGGCAGACAAATTCTGGACAAAACTGTGTCACTTAGTTTCTTTAATATATAATTTATTTCTCAATTCTATAGCCAATCTTAGGTATATTTTAGAATAATATCAATATACAAATCAATTTAAATCATGAGAAAAGATGAACTATAAATGTTAAGAGATAGAGGGAAGTCCATTTATTAAAAATGCAGATGTCAGCATTTTTACAAGAGCACTATCTCTTTCCCATTCTCTGGCACTTTCCTTCTTAGTATGTGCAAAACATGAACTAAAATACTGTCTGGATTGATACTAGAGAATAAGCTGTTAAGAATTTTTGGAGGGGCTGGTGCTATGTCATAGTGGGTAAAACCACTGCCCAAGGTGCCAGCATCCCGTATGGGTGCCAGTTTGAGTCCCTGCTACTCCAATTTGCCTGGGAAAGCAGCAGAAGATGGCCCAACTGGGAGACCCGGAAGAAGCTCCTGGCTCTGGACCGGTCCAGCTCCAGCCTTTGCAGCCATTTGGGGAGTGAACCAGTGGATGGAAGATCTCGATCTCTCTCTCTCTCTCTCTCACTCACTCACTCACTGTTTTAAATAAATAAATAAATAAATCTTAAAAAAATTTTTTTGGAACAGCATCAGGGAATTTCTAAATGTTTTAATTTTTATAATTGAGTATGTTCTTATTTCATATTATGAGCTTGAAGGTCTATGTAACTTTCTGTTTTCTTCTCTATTTGTGGTAGTATTTATGCATAGAATTCCTACAAACACACATATACTCTACCTTTGTGAATTCTACCATCAGACTCTGCTGCTCCTTTGGGAATAACAGCTTTCACATAAATGCCACCATGTCTGACACTCGTATTCACACCTCCCTAAACAGGAAAAGACAAATTAACAATAATAATAATAAAATCTTTTGTACTCACTCCTTTCCCCCCCAGAAACCTTTTATTTAAGGTATACAAACTTCATGTGTTTCATAAATACAAACCTATGTTAGGAACATAGTGATTCCTCCCACCCTACGCTCTCTCCTACCTGCACTCCCACCCTTCTTACTCCTCCCTCTCCTATTCCCATTCTTATTTTTTACTAAGAACTATTTTCAATTAACTTTATACACATGAGATTAATCCTGCACTGTTATACTCACTCGTAAATGTGATTCCTAGAAAGAATTCAATTTGCCAAAGTAGTCATATATCAGCACGTGAGACTATTTCAATACCCTAGAATATTTGTAACTATGTTTTCCAAATGACAAGGCTGTCTCTTTTCTGTAAAACTCTTTATTCAATTTAGAATATAACAATATGGCAGATCTTGACTATATGAGGAATTGCTCTTGATCAATCCACAGCATGCATTATGAGCAAGCAGAAAGCAAAATCTATCTATGTAAAATTAGTGTGGGAAGATAACTATCAGAAAAAAACAGTATATGGAGTAGCATGCTTCAGATTTGTGCATCTGAAAGCAAATTCTATTAGTCAAGGAAAAATAAGTTTTTTTATTTTAGAAGGCTTTGGAGGTTTTCTAAAAATGGGATAGATGAGACCTAATGAATCAATTTTCTATCTCTAATGCATATAAAACATTTTTCTCCCTTTACAATAAAAACAATATAATTCTAAAGAAATTAAGAGGAAGAAGAAAAATGTCATATTTTAAAATGTGCTATAAAATTAGGTTTAATTTTCTGATCTCAATATATTTATAGTACTAAGTTTCTAAGTAGCTTTTTAAAAAAGCTTTTATGTAATGAATGCAAATTTCATAGGTACAACTTTAGGAATATAGTGGTTCTTCCCCCATACCCTCCCTCCCACCCCCACTCCCATCCTACCTCCTAGTCCCTCCCCCATCCCATTCTTCATTAAGATTCATTTTTAATTAACTATATACAGAAGACCAACTCTATACTAAGTAAAGATTTCAACAATTTGTACCCCTCCCCCCACAATAGATGAAGTACTGTTTGAGAATAAGTTTTGCAGTTAATTGTCATAGTACAACTCATTAAGGACAGAAGTTCCACGTGGGGAGTAAGTGCACAGTGACTTTGTTGTTAATTTAATTAACACTCTTATTTATGACATTAGTGATTATCTGAGGCTCTTGAAAAGAGCTGCGAAGGCTGTGGAAGACTTTTGTGACTCTAAGTGGCTTTTAAAAATTACCAATACTCTTCAAATATGATAATGTTATAATTTAGGGACAGTATATTCATTAATATAACTACAACAGGGGCCTACTTTGTGCTGAAGGGTAAAGATGGTGCATTCCACACTGGCATCCCATATGGGTGCCGGTTCATGTCCTAGCTGCTCCACTTCCCATCCACATCCCTGCTAACGGCCTGGAAAAAGCAGCAGAAGATGGCTCAAGGGCTTGGGACCCTGCTACCCACATGGGAGACATGGATAAAGCACCTGGTTCTTGGCTTCAGCCTAGCCCAGACCTGGCCATTGTGGCCATCTGGGGAGTGAATCAGCAGATGAAAGAGCTCTATCTGTCCCTTTTTCTGTAATTCTACCTTTGAAATAGATAAATAAATCTTTAAAGAAAATCCCAAAAAGCTCTACAATAGTTTCATCAAATATCCTATGCATATATGTTAATTATCTTACAGAAACATATATTTCTTGGAAACCTCTAATTTTCAGATACTAAACATGCTTACAAAGTATAATACATGATGAAGCGAAAGGAAATACAAATAGACATAGTCCTCAATATTCATGATGTAGGTTAAAGATGCATCATCTCATTATTCCATGTTCATGCAGAAACTATCAAATATATATAAAGTATATGCATTAATTTTGTAAGTTTTATATTCAGATTAAGCAAGCATGAAATCTACAGGGGAAAGGCAACATGTATCTTATTTTAAGCCACAAGAGAAAAATGAGTAGTATATTCTCAATTTTTAAAAAGGTTTTAAGATACGCTTCAATTTTTATATTTTGACCAGTATCTCATTTTAAGCAAAATAATTCAACTACTAAGTTGGTATATGATAGGCCTTTGAAGTGAAGAAGAGAAAACATTTGAAAACCTTGTCAAACAGTACCGTGACACTTATCCCCAAGCTGTTATCATTTTTAGTCAGTTCAACCTCAAAGATTTCTCCAGGTTTAGGAGGTGATGAAGAAAAAGTTTTAAAATTCATTTTGTTGGATGTATTCATTGAGCAGGAAGATTCCTTAATAAAGAAAAACAAACAAGGATTTCTTGTTAGAGCCCAAATGAATTTTTACTGGAAAATAAATGTGTTTTTTGGCAAAATTAAGAAAAAAAAAAAACCACAAGATGTTAAGGGATATTATAGGGTATATTCAAAGAACATGTGTATTGGACAAATCTTAGAGATCATTTAGTCCAATGCATTTATATTCTATGGCTGAGAAACTGATGGCCAGAGATTTAGGTGCTTATTTCAGGTTAAACAGGTATGGCAAGGGAAACCTGGATCCCTGTTTGAACCTGGTTTTTACATCATCTTCATTCAGTGTTTTTCATACCCCCAAACTCACAAAATATTTCTGTTTTCTTTAGAAATCAATATATATTGAGCAGTAGTTTCTAATTGCAAAGCTCTGTTTAGAAGGTGAAACTTCTAGTGAGGAATGTTGATTTTGCAGTGAGAAAAAGTATTTGGTTCTTTTCTAAATCTACTTTTGAATATGAGTTTAAATTTATGTAATTTCTAAGAGTGAGCTACTTTCAATGTTGTTAGTATCATCTGTTAAGTACTTTAGAAGAAATTAGGCTGTGAATATTAAATTCAGCTGCCCATATAAACTATTCAGAGAATGATTTTTCAAATAAAGCTTTCTTATTAATATAAATATAATAAATATTAATATAAAGTATATTAGCAGATGAACAATCTATAGGAAAACAACATAATCTGAATATCTTTGTGTTATCAAGTAGCAATTTTTTAGAATTAGAGTCATTTTAGAGTTAGTGTTCAAATCTTCTAATTTCACTGAAAGTTAGCAGGAAATGCAATAGCAGTTAGTAGCAGAAGATATAAACCTTTCTTTCTTTCTGGAATAACCTAAGCAGCTTGTAGAATATATTGCCCTGGGCCCGATGCTGTGGTGTAGTGGATTAAGCTGCTGCCTACAGTGCCAGCATTCTATATGGGCACCAGTTCAAGACCTGGCTACTCCACTTCCTATCTAGCTCTCTGCTATGGCCTGGGAAAGCAGCAGAAAATGGCCCAAGTCCTTAGTTCCCTGCACCCGCGTGGGAGACCCAGAAGCAGCTCCTGGCTTCTGGCTTCGGATCGGCACAGCTCTGGCAGTTTCAGCCAACTGATGAGTGAACCAGCAGATGGAAGACCTCTCTCTGCCTCTGCCTCTGCCTCTGCCTCTCCTCTTTGTGTAACTCTTTCAAATAAATAAATCAATCTTAAAAAAAAAAAAGAACATTTTGCTCTGTATCATATTTGCTGTTGTTAAATTAAAAAAAAAAAACATCCCAAGGGGCTGGTGCTGTGGCTTAGTAGCTTACACCTTTGCCTGCAGCACTGGCATCCTATGTCAGTGCTGGTTTGAGTCCCAGCTGTTCCACTTCTGATCCAGCTCCCTGCTAATGGCCTGGGCAATCAGCGGAGGATGCTCCATGCAGTTGGGCCCCTGCACCCACGTGGGAGACCTGGAAGAAGCTCCTGACTCCTGACTTTCGATGAGTCCAGCTCCAGCCTTTGTGGCCATTTGGGGAATGAACCAGAGGATGGAAGATCTCTCTGTCTCTTCCTCTCCCTGTCTATAACTCTGCCTCTCAAATAAATAAATACATTTTTTCAAAAAGCCCAAAGATTTAAAATTAGACTATGCCTTTTTTGGTGTCTGATGATCCTGACTGCTGGCATAAGTGGCTTCATCCATGTCTGAGTCTCCATGGTCAGAGCAGTCTGTCATGTCCGCAATGCCTGGCCGCTTAGCTTTGCTCTGATTACTGCCAGTGGACATCCTCATTTTCTCAGTAGCTTTAGACATTACCGATGGGGAAGGGCTGCCATGCTGTGATTCCTGCCAGGCTCGTTCACCTAAATGGCCAGCAAAGAAACCATTGACCTGGCTCTGGGACAAGCTAGCACTCTCAGTCCTGGAATCTTGAGAACTAAGGCTTCCTTCCCGGAGGCCCCCGGAAAGCCCAAAGGAGTTTTCTGCGATGTGCCTCAGGGTACCACGTGGCCAGTGGTGATCCTCGGAAGACGAATCCATAGGACTATCTTGCATGTAGGAAGGTTTCTTCATGTAGTTTTTCACTCCATTGGCAAGATGCACAGGGGTAGAAGGCACTAAAAGTCAAAATCCATCAATGAAAATCACAAGTTAGTGACATATATCTGTGCCTACACATATGCGAGGTTCCCTGAAGACTGTTGAGAGGATTTTAGACATAACATGTGCAAAACAACTGACTCAGGCTGGAACCACGACACGGATGCTGGATTCCTTTTATGTCCGGTACTCCCTGACTTTGGTCATTCTTGTAACAACCTCTACTGAAATATGTACCCTTCTTGCCTTAGCTCCTCATTTCCATTCTCCAAATCCCATTGCAAATCAGTCTCCTCTCTGAAGACTTTTCTGATTCCAAAGATAATTTATAGTAACATATAATTTGAGTCTCCAATACCCTTGGTTCTTATTTAGATAATATTTGTTTGCATACTTCTTTGATATTGTCCTACCAGACTGCATTTTTTTGATTCCAAATAATTTTCAAGGAAGGCAATTCCAAATTCCTTTTATATATTTCTTATCAGAAGCAACTTAAGAGAGTTTTCTGAGGACACAAATCCCAAAGAGACATATGGAAAATTATAGACGTAAATATATAAAAAACGGAAAGTTTTATGTAGCAAGAAACACCAAGGAAAAAACAGAGTAATGAACAACCAGAAAGAAAATATTTGTAACAATGAAAATAACTAGAGTTGGGGCTGGTGCTGTGGCACAGCAGGTTAATGCCTTGGCTCATATGGGCGCCAGTTCGAGACCCGGCTGCTCCACTTCCAATCCAGCTCTCTGTTATGGCCTGGGAAAGCAGTACAAGATGACCCAAGTCCTTGGGCCCCTGCACCCACATGGGAAACCCAGAAGAAGCTCCTGGCTCCTACCTTCAGACTGGTGCAACTCTGACTGTTACGGCCAATTGGAGAGTGAACCAGCAGATGGAAGACCTCTCTCTCTCTCTCTCTCTCTCTCTGCCTCTCCTCTCTCTGTGTAACTCTGACTTCCAAATAAATTAATAAATCTTTAAAAAAATAACCAGAGCTGATATCTCTAATATACAAAGTTTGCAAAATTTATGGAAAATTTTAAGAACTCCTATGGAAGAATATGATATATAGACTGGAAAATTGGAGTAAAATATAAATAACTAATAAATATATGAAAAGACATTCTTACTGTTGCTCAGGGATGTGCAGTATAATGCAGTTTTCTACCTATTGAGAATGGATAGTAAAAAAGCAATCATACGAAACTGTTGAGAAGGTAAAATTCCTCTGTTAAATGCTCTCTTGGCACCTTGGGCTTCTTGATAACTTACTAAGTCATAATAAAAAAATTGTTCAGTTAGTTAATACTTGTCTTCCCTGATAAAATGCAAATTTCACAGGGGCAGAGGTTTTGTGTTTGGTACACAGGCCCTCAATAAATATTTGTTCAATAAATGAGTAACCTTTCTATGAAAGATGTACTGAAAATAAAATAAAAATGGAAATCCCTTAGAGTTCTGTTTGGGTGAAATGAATTTATTCTGAATTCACATGCTTCTTTTATTAAAATAATGGAAAAGAACAGAACTTGGTGGTCTGCCTTTTGAAAATATTCTGGTCTTGACTACTTGCAACTCAGAGGTACGCTCTGTCATTTTCAACTATAAGGTTCTTGTGGGCAATGTGATTGTCTTCTATCTCCCTTCTATATGCATGTTCATAGCATAATTATAAATGTACATATTATACACACACATATACAGTTCCCAGCATGTTTGGGATGAAACGTGTATCTATTACTTCAGTAGTTTTGAAAAGTACTAGCAATAGTGAGAGCTGAAACTCCTATTTAAGTGCTTAATGTGAATCTGGCAATGTGCTAATTCTTTCTGGTTTTTATGTACTTTTTATAATCTACAAAATAGGCACTTTGAAGTAACCATTTGATCAGTGAGCACAGTGGGGTTCAGTAAGGCTCAGTAAGTTCAAGTGATTTGCTCAAGGTGTGTAGTTTTAAGTGGTAGAGACAGAGTATGAGCCTGGACCGTGGAGGCCTCCCTACTGTCCACTGCACTGTTCTGTTTTCCTCTGGCTGTGTGTGCTGCTGCTTCTTAAAATATTTATTTATTTAGGGGCTGGCATTGTGGCACAGCAGGTTAAGCCCCTGCTTTCAATGCCAGCATCCATTATGGGTGCCGGTTCATGTCCTGGGTGCTCTACTTCCAATCCAGTTCCAAGCTGATGTGCCTGGAAAAGCATTGAAAGATGGCCCAAATACTTGGGCCCCTGCCACTCATGTGGGAGACCCAGAAGAAGCTCCTGGCTCCTGGCTTCAACCTGGCTCAGCCCTGGTTGTTGCGGCCATTTAGAGTGAACCAGTGGATGGAAGATCTTTTCCTCTTTCTCTCTCTGTCTCTCCCTCTGAAACTCTTTCAAATAAATAAATAAATCTTTAAAAAATTTACTTATTAATTTATTTGAAAGGTAGACCGACAGAGAGAGAGAGAGAGAGAGAAAGAGGGAGAGAGAAAGAGGGAGGGAGGGAGGGAGAGAGAGATTTTCATCTGCTGGTTCAAACCCCATATGGCCACGACAGCCAGGGATGGGCCAGGCTGAAGTGAGGAGCCAGCTACTCTATCCTTGTCTGCCACACGGGTCCATCTTCTGCTGCATTCCCTGGCACAATTAGCAGGGAGCTGGTTTGGAAGCAGAGCAGCTGAGACTGGAATCAGCATGCCCGCTTGAGATGCCAGTGATGAAAGCGGCCTGTGTGGGCTTAAACACTGTCCCAGTACTTGATTTTCCTAATGACACTGTGTGAGACAGACACAGCAAGACAGACTACTGAGACTTTAATTAACAAAACAAACAAACAAACAAAAAAACCCTGGCTCAACAGGATGTACATTATACAACTAGCAAGTGGCACAGGCAAGTCTTAAACTTAGGACTTCTGACTTCTGTTATGTGCCTTCTTCTCTCATGGCATGCTAATGAGACAAAGTGATATGGTCTTGTTTGTAAATTTCTAATTTTTTTCCTTAAATTTTTTATTTGTTTTTCTTTATATTCATTTTATTTGAAAAGAGGAGAGAGAGAGAGAGCGAGCGAGCGAGCGCGAGCTTCCATCTGCTGGTATACTCCAAGAAGGCCTGTAACAGCTGGGTCTGGGCCAGGCCACAGCCAGGAACCTATAACTTAATCTGGGAATCTGATTCTCCAACAAGGACAGCAGAGACCCCAGTACTTGAGCCATTACCTGCTACCTTCCAGGATGCATACACATTAGCAGGAAGCTGGAATTAGAAGCAGAGCCAGGACCCAAACCCATGTACTCCATCACGGGATGCAGGTGTCCCAAGTGGTGTCTCAACTGCTGTGTCAAATGCCTGTGCCCTGTTCTTTATTCTTTTTATAATCTAGTTTTGGACAGGACTTGGTACATAACTATTATATAACCACAGTAAATACACAATGATAAAGAATTCTATTTCTGGGGCTAGTGTTGTGGCTTAGAGGGTAAAGCCAATGCCCGCAGTGCCAGTATCCTATATGGGCGCTGGTTCGAGTTTCAGATGCTCTACTTCCAATCCAGCTCTCTGCTGTGGCCTGGAAAGCAGTAGAAGATGGTCCAGGTCCTTGGGCCCCTGCACCCTCATGGGAGACCTGGAAGACACTCCTGGATCCTGGCTTCAGATTGGCCCAATTAGGGCCACTGTGGCCATTTGGGGAGTGAACCAGTGGATGGAAGGCTACCCCTCATCCCCGCCCTCTGCCTCTGCCTCTCTGTAACTCTGTCTTTCAAATAAATAAATAAATCTTTAAAAAACAAAAAAGAATTCTATTTCTGATTTGACCTAAGAACAGATGAAACACACCAGGTAATCAGAATTTACTTTTGGCCGGCGCCGCGGCTCACTAGGCTAATCCTCCACCTTGCGGCGCCAGCACACAGGGTTCTAGTCCCAGTCCGGGCGCCAGATTCTGTCCCAGTGGCCCCTCTTCCAGGCCAGCTCTCTGCTGTGGCCAGGGAGTGCAGTGGAGGATGGCCCAAGTGCTTGGGCCCTGCACCCCATGGGAGACCAGGATAAGTACCTGGCTCCTGCCATCGGATCAGTGTGGTGCGCCGGCCGCGGCGGCCGTTAGAGGGTGAACCAACGGCAAAGGAAGACCTTTCTCTCTGTCTCTCTCTCTCACTATCCATTCTGCCTGTCACAATAGAAATGAAAAAAAAAAGAATTTACTTTCTTGACATCAATTTTGCACGAAACCATTTCATGCATATGTTACTAAAGAGGAACAAGACAGAACATTTTTGAAGTGATGAATGAAGAAGTTACACTGATGTATGAAATGAGAATTAAACATGCCAAATTGTCAGAAAGAAAAAGGCTTAAATCCAACTCACTGGGCCAACATATGAAAGCACTTGTGAAAAGTATAATAGAACACATATCTAAGAACATTGACAACATTACCTTTGGATATCTTTTCTTTTGGCTGAGAGATAACAAGCGTCACATTTTCAGGTGCATTTTGCAAAATTTCAATTGCAGCATGGTGGCTAACTCCCTCTAGACTCACACTATTCACAGATATCAAACGGTCTCCTATAAAAAGAGACAATTCAGCATTTTCAACAACAAAGAGAAATTCATGTTAAATCTGAAAAATGTCACCCTTTCCTCTTTTTATTTGGCTTAAGTCCCACTTTTTTTTTTTTTAATCTGTGCAGTCATGCCTGTTAGTATTTAGGAAATTATCAAAATGTAAAGTACCTGGTTTTAAGCATCCATCCAAATCAGCTGGTCCTCCAGGGGTAATTGAACTGATAAACACTCCCAGATCCAGTCTTCCCATCTTTTCCCCACCAATAATTTGAAATCCTGTAAAATAGCACATTAAAAAAAATCTTTAAGATAATGGTGCTTTCAACGATTAATGATTATCCTGCCTGAAACACAGAAATGTGGAGACTGTTGATATTAAGCATGATGAAGAATAGATAGGTAACAAGTGTGAGGTAGAATTACTTGTTAAATGTGGTGTGCTTCTTGTAGGTACTTCATCCTCTGCATTTAGTTGCTGGGAATGGAGTGATGGGACTGTAGGTGGGCAGCAAGTGTCTAGGTCAGAAGTGGACTAGTGCCTCAAAGCCAGTGCTATGTGTTAGGTTTTTTCTTTCTGAATTATAAGACCAATGAGAAGCTACAACTTACCTAAGCCATACTTGGCATCTTTTTTCAGGTTCACCAACGTGATCTCCCTTTCTGGCGAGGATACTATGCTCCATCTTTTGTGCAGCATATCTATTGGGAATTTATAATTTTAGAAATAAATAAATATGCTCAGGTATTAAGACTGTCATCTTGCATCAATTTAATGTTAACAAAGATCATTAATAGACTGTTCAGTCACTTAAAAATATATTTTAAGGTTACCGGTATCGCTATTACATTTTTGTGGTGATTTATAGTTTACAAAGTGATTATTGTCACATTTGTTCCTTTAGAAATAAGTATATTTTAGTTGAAGATGAGTAAATGAATCTCTAGAGGTTAAATCCTTTGAGCAGAGTTAGTTAATACAGAAAGAGCTGCACCTTCAACTGGATTTTCTGACTCCATGTTTTTCTGTTCTATCACAGTTGACTCTTGAATTTGATAATGCTCAAGATATTAAGAATATCTCAGTAGCAAATGGTTGATATTTCATTTATAATTAGTGGAATTTTATTAGTAAGTTTCTAACTAAAACAATAATAAAAATGATCTTTATTAAAAAATACCAATAATAATGACTTGTCTAGTACACTTACTCTCAAAATACTTTATTTCACATACATTTGTGAAGGAATCTCATGAGATAAGCCAAGAAATTATTAAACATTGCTTTAAAGATGAGGAGTAACAGTTTGAATTGTTCAACATTACAGCTTAGTATCATTAACCAGTAAAATGCCAGAAGTCAGTACTTAATAATTGCTAGTTAGCTATTGAATGAATGTCAGCATTGAAACTAAAATTTACTTTCTTATTTCCACTTAGGTATTTTCTTTTTTTAAAAGAAGACTAATCATTCACAAATACCTTCCTAATTAAAACAATAGACACTTGACTGCCATGTTAATCAACTTAATTCATCTACTTAGCAATTCAAGTATTTAAACATACACATTATCATCAATTACAATTTGACAGTTCAAACTGGTGTTTATATGAAGGTGGTGGTAGTGGTGGTGAATATTTTTAACATTCAGAAAGATATTTTTATAAACTGGATCTTCTGATTCAACTCGACATGATTTCACTTAAGTGTACACAAGAATTTCCTTAAAACTTCTTTTTTTTTTTTTTTTTTTTTTTTGACAGGCAGAGTGGACAGTGAGAGAGAGAGAGAGAAAGGTCTTCCTTTGCCGTTGGTTCACCCTCCAATGGCTGCCGCGGCCGGCACGCTACGGCCAGCGCACCGCGCTGATCCGATGGCAGGAGCCAGGAGCCAGGTGCTTTTCCTGGTCTCCCATGGGGTGCAGGGCCCAAGCACTTGGGCCATCCTCCACTGCACTCCCTGGCCACAGCAGAAAGCTGGCCTGGAAGAGGGGCAACCGGGACAGAATCCGGCGCCCCGACAGGGACTAGAAACCTGATGTACCGGTGCCGCAAGGCAGAGGATTAGCCTATTGAGCCATGGCGCCAGCCTCCTTAAACCTTCATATGCATTTCTATATCGTTATGAATTCAAGCCTTATGTCTGTATGTTTCAACATAATAAATAATACCCATGGACTTAAAATTGTACTACTATATTACAAAATAACTAATAATTTTGTTACAGAACATGTATTGATACTTAAATGTTTTGGTGTTTCAAATACTAGAATAAATTCCTTCAGTTTCAGAAAACAATTACAATCACTTCATCCCAGGAGGGAATTAACCTTGCACCTTTTTTTTTTTTTTTTGACAGGCAGAGTGGACAGTGAGAGAGAGAGACAGAGAGAAAGGTCTTCCTTTACTGTTGGTTCACCCTCCAATGGCCGCTGCGGCCAGTGAGCTGCGACCGGTGCACCGCGCTGATCGGAAGCCAGGAGCCAGGTGCTTCTCCTGGTCTCCCATGCAGGTGCAGGGCCCAAGCACTTGGGCCATCCTCCACTGCACTCCCGGGCCACAGCAGAGAGCTGGACTGGAAGAGGGGCAACCACAACAGAATCTGGCGCCCTGACCGGGACTAGAACCCGGTGTGCCGGCGCTGCAGGCAGAGGATTAGCCTATTGAGCCGCGGCGCTGGCAACCTTGCATCTTAAACACCAATTCTGGTATAATTTACTAGCTCCTTGAAGGGAACAAGCTACTATCCTGTTTCTTTCTTTTTTTTAACAAAAACTAATTATAATCAATAACAGTAGTAGCGATTTGATAGTTTTAGTGATTTTACTAATTAGATGATAAAAAATTTCACAAAACAATGATGGGAACAGCCTTACATATTAGGAGTCCTAAGCAAAAGTGCTTCTATTATTCACCCCTTGGTTAATTATTTTATCTAAACAGACAATATTCTTTTGTCCTAAAACAGACATTTAGTTCCAGTTTTTAAGCTAGAACACACAAGTAAACAAAGAACAAACCCATTAAATAAAATAAATATGGAGCACAGTCACATTAAGAATTGAGATCAGTGTGGTGTTACAGTGACAAACACTGGTTAGGTGCTAAGAGAGAACAGAAAAAGTGCTTTGTAAAGTGAGAACATGATAATGACTGCTTTGAATTTCCATTCCCCACCCCAGTGCCCCCTCTAAATTTGACTTATTTTTTAAAGATTTATTTTATTTACTTGAAAGACATAATTACAGAGAGAGGTAGAGTCAGAGAGACAGAAAGAAACAGAGAGAAGAAAATCTTCCTTTCCGCTGGTTCACTCTCCAAATGACCACAACAGCCAGAGCTGAGCTAATTCGAAGCTAGGAGCCAGGAGGTTCTTCCAGGTCTCCCACATGGGTGCAGGAGCCCAAGGAGTTGGGCCATATTCCACTGCTTTCCCAGGCCGTAGCGGAGAGCTGGATTGGAAGAGGAACAGCTGGGAATTGAACCGGCGCCCATATGGGATGCCAGCACTGCAGGTGGTGGCTTAACCCGCTATGCCACAGCGCCGGCCCCCAACCTACTGTTTTTAAACAGAGACACCCTCCCCCAGTTCTGCTCCCCCAATCTTGGTGACCTGTGATTTTACTTATCAGTATGAGAGCAGAAGGATGGAATTGTGTTAGTTTATAGCGGCATGCTACTAGACAATATTCTGCAAGTAATGAATTTCTATTTATCTTTGAATTATCACCATAATGTTCAAAATACTTTTCCATCAGTTTTTCAAAAACTGTAAGGTAGTATCCGAAGGCCTATGACAAATGACAACCCAAGTAAACTTAAAGATATCTATAGAATTCAATGAAGATTGAATAGTTTATGGATCTCTGAATATGAGGTAGCTAGATACTGCAAATACTAACAACTTTCTATCTTATTTTAGATTTTTTTTTTATTTGATGGGTAGAGTTATAGACAGTGAGAGACAGAGAGAAAGGTCTTCCTTCCGTTGGTTCACCTCCCTAAATGGCCGCCACAGCCAGTGGGCTGCGCTGATCTGAAGCCAGGAGCCAGGTGCTTTCTCCTGGTCTCCCATGCGGGTGCAGGGGCCCAAGCACTTGGGCCATCCTCCACTGCCTTCCCGGGCCACAGCAGAGAGCTGGACTGGAAGAGGAGCAAGCGGGACTAGAACCAGGCGCCCATATGGGATGCTGGCGCCGCAGGCGGAGGATTAACCAAGTGAGCCTTGGCGCCAGCCCTAGCTTATTTTAATTACTATATGAAAACAAGCATTCATATTCAAGGAGTATTTATTTTTACATTCTTAAAATAATGTTACCAATATACACTATCAATAGCAAATTTTGCAAATATTTTAAAGAACCCCAATTTGAAATTTCCAATTCTTTGAATAATACATGCTGGTGATGTTCCCAATAACGTTTACCTAGGAAATAGCTTAAGAAGACTTGATAAGTCTATGATTTTTATTTCTGTGCCAGCACTTACTATCTGAGTCAACTGGGGCTATATAACATTTCTAGGACTCACATAAATCATCCACAAAATAAAAAGGTTTGGATTAGATAAACTTTAAAGCTTTTTACACTGCTTAATTTACCTGACTCTCTTTTGCTTCTGGTTCATTACTGAATCTGTTCAATCCTTATGAATATAGTTTGGTCTTCCATTTTTATGAAAATTTTTCAACTTTGTATGTATTCTAACTAAATATCAGTGGGGAGAAAGCTAATGTTTGAAACTACAAGGATCGGGGCCAGCGCTGTGGTGCAGTGGGTTAGTGCCATGGCTTGAAGTGCTGGCATCCCATGTGGGTGCCGGTTCGAGACCCAGCTGCTCCACTTCCAATCCAGCTCTCTGCTATGGCCTGGGAAAGCAGTAGAAGATGGCCCAAGCCCTTGGGCCCCTGCACCCACGTGGGAGACCTGGAAGAAACTCCTGGCTCCTGGCTTTGGAATGGAGGAGCTCTGGCTGTTGTGGCCAATTGGGGAATGAACCATCAGATGGAAGACCACTCTCTCTCTGTGTGCAACTCTTTCAAATAAACAAATCAAAAAAAAAAAAAAAAAAAAAAAAGAAAGAAAAAGAAACTACAGTGATCCTTGACATCTGACTTTCAAGTGTGTTTTAAAATCTTATTTCTGCTTGTATGGAGTTATACTTTATTACTTGGAATTAAGATTGCTCACAAAGACATTCATTTTAATATTGGGACAAAGTACTTCAGTGTTTGTATGATGCTGCCGTGCACCAGAATAACTTATTTTACAAGAGGTTTGTTTTTTTTTTTTTCCATTCTTTGTTAAGAGTCCTGGGACCAGCGCTGTGGCACAGTGGGTTAACGCCCTGGCCTGAAGCGTTGGCATCCCATATGGGCGCTGGTTCAAGACCCCGCTGCTCCACCTCCGATCCAGATTTCTGCTATGGCCTGGGAAAGCAATGGAGGATGGCCCAAGGCCTTGGGCCCCTGCACCCACATGGGAGACCTGGAGGAAGCTCCTGGCTCCTGGCTTCGGATCAGCGCAGCTCCGGCCGTTGCAGCCAATTGGGGAGTGAACCATCGGATAGAAGTCCCTTCTCTCTGTTTCTGCCTCTCCTCTCTGTGTTACTCTGACTTTCAAATAAAAATAAGTAAATCTTAAAAAAAAAAAGAGTCCTATGTTCAACCTCATAAAATGCTGGCATGTATTTTGTGGTTCCGAAACTTCAGGAAGCAACATGACAAACTTAGCTACCTATAGAAGGAATTAAGTAAAACAATGTGCAACAACAAAAATCAACTTTATGTAATTTTTGGATAAGTTTTATATATTTTTAATTTACTCCCTTACACAGGAATATTATGTTTTTCAAAGATTGAGCAACTTTTTTTTGGAAATCACAATCAAGAAACTGTAATCCTTCCCATGTCACTGTTGCAAAGTATAAGATTAGAAGACTCATGGCTTTTTCCATTGTCTCTTTCAAGTTTCACATTTTTAAAGAACCCGTGGAGATTATAAGTGGTTAAGATTGAATTGAATACATTCATCTTTATTCTGAATGATCAATCATTATTAACTGATGTTCATTTGTAATTTTCTTCTAATAATCTCAACCAGCAGGGAAAACATTAAAATTAGTTCTATATTTGACACATTAGCAAGTAATTTAACTTTTTGATCCTTATTTGCCATTTTTGGAAAAACATGTTTGACATGCTTCATTATGTGAAAACTTGATTCTCACCAGAGCACTAACTCAGTCTACTTGAGAAGACTCAAAGAGAATTTTGAGGAAATACACAATCTTGTTTGCAAGCTGGGGACACTGCTGAAAGATGGTTTAACCATTCCATAGGGGGCAGGTGTGAGATGAGGCATCTAAAGGTTTAAACACAGAAACTAACCTGCACCCGCTCATTGGCTATCCAGTGCAAATTCATATTGTTTTCCATCACAACCTAAGTTAAAACACATTTCAAGTCCTCATCCCTGAATAGATTATTAGCCAGCTTCTTTTAAAAGTTTAGCTGGGAGAAATAATATATATGAGCAAGAAGGCATTATTATGCCAGGAGACAGTCTCAAGGGCAGATTAGCACATGGGCAGATGGCCTGTGTTCAAATCACTGCTCTGTAACTTGCTAGCTCCGAGACCTCTGCATAACTCAAACCTCTCTATGCTTTGGTTTCTCATTTGTGAAAAGAAAATAATAACATCCTATTCATTGGGCTGTTATGGGGATTAAAAGAAATATATGTAAAGTACCTAGAATAGTGTCAGGCACACATTAAGCACTCAATAATTATTACCATGACAGACACATTATTAATCGAGTTGTTATATATGTAGATGCTTTAAATTCAGTGCAGGTAAGAAATCTGAGGTGCTCATGCTGTGGTGGAGACCCCTCTGATTACATTTTTCTCTTGATTCGGAAATCTTATCTCTACTGTTTTGTCTGAATAAATCTTGTCATTTCAAAATTCAGTTCAAGTGTACCTTTAAAATAATCACTTCAGTTAAAACTCCTTTTGATCAAAATTATCTCTTAACTGAACTACTGTATTAGTTTCTCAATTAGTGTCCTTACCTCTAATTTATCATTTGTTTATTTAATCAACATTAGCCTAAAGCACAGGTCTCGTCATGTCACTATGAGGCTGAAAAATACAACTCTTCTTTGACTCCAATGTAGGCCTAAATCCTTGGCATGGAATTGAAGACTTGTTAGGTCTGAGAATATCTCATAAGGCACAGGAAAGAGACAAGATATGATGGAAATGAGGGGGAAAACATTTTGTTAACCTACCATTTTCTTTTAAGGGTACTTGGGATGAAGAATTTCCAGAACTATGCATAGTCACTCCTGTAGTATAAATTAAATTATTAGACATTTTATAAAATGCTCAGATACTAGACACAGAAGTAATTCCTTCTGATAAATTCATAAAAATCAACAAAACATTAAGGCAGCAACACTTTCTTTCATTCACACTAAGAAAAATGTCTTTCTGCAGTGGGTACATTTACTATTTTAAAATAGTAATTAAGCATACTGACTTATCTTACAACATAAGATTAAATGCAAATGTATGGTTTCTGACTGACATTTTGATATGTCAAACATGAAATGATGAAACTGAAAGGATTTTTAAAAACACTTGTTATATGGAAAAGAAAATAATTCAAAATTAAGTAAGTATGAATAACATAAAAAATGCAGAAAATAGTGACCCTTTTCTGAGTGATTTTTTTATCTGTGTTTTTTCTATAGAGTATTTAGTATTGTCTTTCTGATATATGATGTATTTTTCACATAGTCCAAAGCTCTTCTAATGAAAATAGGTTAGAATCTATGAGATCCCATTATATACAAGCATTCTTTAACAAGTATTTCTGAACCAGCCTCTCTGACCATTTTCAACACACAGGGTGGCCTATCTATAGGATGCAATCTTGCTTTTAATCTGCCTAAATATTTTTTAACAAGTTTAACTTACACTGATGATAGTATAATCTCTGAAAGGTGTGGAAGCCTACATCAATAAAGCAATGTCACTTTCCATAGATGTTCATAAGCTATAATGTAGAGCTTTCTTCTGATTGCATTTACTCCTACTTATAAGACAAACAAATATTTTTTAACTTTGGGTAATTAGGGCTAAATTAACAAACTTTGGGTCAAGGCAAAGGTTAAGAACTATCATTTGGTACAACACAAGAGTGTGTACTTATTTCCCTTTTGTCTCCCTGGCTGTTAGGTACCTTGAGTCATAATAGCTCAAATAATTTATGCTTAAACAGCTGTTCTGAAAGACTGACTCCACTGAGCTTTCCTCTTAAGATGCAGAAGGTAGAGGGCACTTGAACTACAAAGTGCACTGTGGGTGTATTTACAAACACACACGCAACTTCTGCATGTAATTATAAAGTCACAACTACCTCGAAGAATTTGAAGATACTTAAATTAATTAAGAATTTATATTTTGTCAACCTTAGCACATTTCATAAAATTATCTTTTTAAAGACAATTTCACTTATGCTAAGTTGAAAGCACCCTAACTAAACCTTTCTTAATAGAATATTGGATTTCACTCACATGGGCCTGTGAAGAACAGAGGAAGAAATCCAAAGCAATAGTACAAGACCATCTGGGTCCTCTCAAAACAACTGCCATGGCTACTGTGACCAAAAGGAAGCTAGGAAATGGCCTGCTCCATGAGGCAATCACTTGGCAAATCAATTTTTGATGGAATTTGGTGCATGTCACATTATTCTAAAACTTTATATTCATGGCTTTGGCAATTAGGACACAGAACCCAAAACAATTTCTTAGTAATTAACATGATCTTGTTCACTTTACTATGAGCATGAAGTATGGGAGAAAGAGGTAAGCTTGTTTATGCTGACCTATAACATAGGCTTGACCAGGGTCTTCAATGGATGAGGAGTCTGATTCATGTTTCCTCCTTTCAGGACTTCTATTTAAACTTGCAACAGACTTTGAACTACAGAGGGAAAAGGAAGGTAGGAGGGGAAGTGTCAATGTAAAAAAAAATATGGTGCAAATAATAAAATGTCAAAAGAAAAACAAATGTATGAAATGTAGAATTTACAAATATATGTAGTTTGAGTTCAGCATGTTCTTACTTATTAGGTTTTGTGAGTTCTGCCAAAGATTCTGTATCAGATCTTGCCATCTGGTGAAAAGATTTTCCCACCATTTCCACAACGGCTTGTGGTGGAGAGTCCATGTTAACAACGACATTTTTCCGATGAGGATAGAGAGAGGCCTGACTGAGATCATGGTATGATTTACTCATCCCTCTAGGCTTTTCCTCCCATGAAGCTTTGTCACTCTTCTCTTTTGAACTGTTTTGCAATGGCTGGTAAAGCGACAGCTCTGAGCAGGACAGCCTCTTCAGAATCTCAGCCTGGACTGACAAAGGTCGAACGGCAAGTTTGTTCAGGGTGCTGCTGGCCAGACTGCCAGTGCTGATGGCTCGTCCCATGTTAAATCCTCTAACGGACTCTGCTTGGAGATTCAGGCTCCTAAACGAAGCTCTCTCTACAAGGAAATAGGATTGCTTTACATGATGGAAAAACCGCAGTATCTTTATGCGAAGAATTATTTTAATAAATAAAATACAGCATGCAGTTTTCATTCATTTTTTTGCCACCCTAATCAGATAGCTTTCAAAGTGTGGCAATCAAGGGCTTTAAAAAGGAGGTTTGAAGATCCTGTTTTTCATGCCATCTCTCCATACTTTTAGTTTTCTCTCACCCATAGTTTAGTCTGTTTTTCCTTCTTCACCTAATGATTATCTTGGATCCAATAATATTTGGGGTTCAGGCCTGTTGACCCCAAATTCCTTACGGGTATAAGAAATGAGAATGACATTTAACAGAGAAATTTTCAAGCATGCTAGTGTCTCTGATAAAATATCAGCAAACCAAGGATGAGGTGAGGGAGGTGAGACCAGGATGGGTGGATATGGTGAATACACGCCTAAAAAAGAAGTTGTGTGGAACCAAAGTTTTGCCCAGAGAAGTTCTTGATTATTAGATTTTTAAAAGCTTAAGGTAGAATGTAACAATGGTACACAACTCTGAATATAGTAAAACCACTGAACTGCATCCTTTACATGGGTGAATTATATAGTATGTGAATTATCTCTCAATAATACTGTAAATCCCTTCCCACACAAAAAAAAAGCTTTTCAGGAAAATTATTTCTATTATTTTTTCACTATTACACCAGCACCACATTCCCACCTTGTTGACTTCATGATTTAACTGAGGCAAAAGAGTCACGGGAGAATGAAATAGTATAAATCTTCTTGGTGTTTTGATATCTGTAAATTAACATGACTTAGGGAGCTGGAGCTCTCTTAATGCTTAAATACCTTTTACTCCTGAATGCATTTGCAAAGTCTTCAGAAGAGACTAAATTTAGATACTTTAACTTTTGAGGCTGTTAGCAAAAGAACTGCATCATATGTAACTAAAGTACCATTTAGTTGTTCATGTATTTAGTAACCCACAACAAAAGGCACTCCCTTTGGTCCCCCTTGGAAAGTAGCAACCTGTTGTTGAACTCCATATGGAATAAAGCTTGACCACTGTGCAAAACTGCTTGGAAAACTTCCTTTTAACAATAAACTGTCAAATGATTATTGACTTAGGTCTGTATATTCTATTTCACTTATATTCTAGTTCAGGATTATTAAGAACTGAAATTTTACCTTAGGTAGAAACCATATCAGAAAACATTTTTAAAATTTTAATATTCATGTATCATAATGAAATTTAATAAACATGTCTCATTATCACAAAGTTAATTCAACATTCTTTCTCTGAAGTAAAAGTGGACATCAAGTTAAAATGACACTTTTAAAATTCCCCAAATCATCTTTAGCTTAAAATATGTAATTGTTTACTGGAACAGATAGCACTATTTCTATATTCTTTTGACAGCAGTCTTTAAACAAAAGATGCAAAACGGAGTCTTATTCCGATTTAATTACCTAGAACCGACTTTATACCCAGCGGACTTCTTTATCTATAAGGAAAATGTTGACTAAACTTCGGGAGCGAGAAGACTAGCCAGTTCAGTTTAGGTTTTGTCTGTTTTGTGAACATATCAGGGCTTATGCTATTCAAATACATTCACACAGCCAACTCTTGGTTAGGACTTAACATATTGCATATGGGGACCGTAAGTCATCCCCTTGTCTTGTCTGTCCTACTACTATTCACTTGGGAAAGACTCCAGCAAGGAGCATCCATAAAGAAAAGGATATAGGAATGAGACTGTATCCTGATGCTAATGTTTCCAATTTGAATTCAAAGACTTCCTAGTTCCACACTCAGCCAGCAATTCACCCTTTTCAATGTCTGTTTCTGCTGTTGTTCAGTTCCTTGTATCATTTGGTGCTTCCTTATATCTCTCAAGTTAACTGTATGCTATTTTGAAGAGAGGAACTTCATTTATCCTGTTATCCTATCATATTTGGCACTTATAATAGTAAATTCTCAGTAAGTGATTTTTAATCTTCATTTAATTCCATGCAAACTGGTTCTTGGGGAGCTCATCAAATAGAAGGAATACTGGATTAGGAATGATAGATAGGGTTTTAGCCTAATCTGACCTCGAATCATGAGGTGTGGTCAGACACTTTCTTCTCTGAACCTGTTTCCTCGTTAGTAAAAATTTGGACTTAATGGCTTTTAAGGTTCTTTCTAGCACCAATATTCTATGATTTTAGAGAAGAATCATACATTTATTTGTTGTCTCATAAATATCCTAGAGATAAGATTAGTTATTTGTAATTGTCTAGTACAGATAATTAAATAGGCAGATAGTTCCGTTTAAACTCATTATAAGTAGGAAATAATTCCTTGGAAAGTTCAAAAAATATCTGGGGGAAAATATGGGTAGTTACTATCCTAAAGTATTTCACATATAAATCCAAGTATACATAGCTGTTGTGAATCTAGGAGTAAACCTGAGATACATAGAGCATTCCCTCTAAATGAGTGAAGAAAATGAGATTCCAAAAAGACTAAGGTTATCCAATTACTACTGCTACCACCACCATTTCCATTACCACCACCACTACTGCTGAAAAATAGTATAGTGGTACATAGTATAGTAGTATTACCTTCTGCTGCTAGTAGTAGTGGTAAAATAAGATGGATGGTGATTATAATAAAAATTATTATATAGAATATATTATATAATATAAATATGTAATTTATTATATAATATATAAAATTATGAATATCTATACCAGCACTTTTAAAGTGTTCTACATGTATCAATTAATTTCCTCTTCACAACCTTATGATGTAGGCATTAACATTATGATAATTATTTAATGGATAGAGAAACAAAGGCAGAGTTTAAGGAGTTTACCCAAGGTTTTAGAACTTGTAAGGAATAGAGCCAAGTTAGAATACTGGCAGCTTGGTTTCAGAGTTCATGTTCTCAACTATCACACTATCCTGTCTTGTAGTAGAAGCAATGTTGAGATCCAAAGGCTGGCTTCATACTTTTGTCTTCTGACTCCTTTCACTGTATCTATAGTGACGTGGTTTTCAATTCTCATTTCTACTGAATAAAAATTGGTCCAAGTGGGAATCCCAAGAGCCTTAATAGGTTTAATATTTCACTATACTTTGAAATATATAAGAGCATACACATTTTAACATAGGAAATCAGGGAAAGAAATATCATAATGAAATTGGTTTACAGCAATGATTATATTTCAGTAGATTAAAAACCATCTCTGAGGAAAACGGGACCCAGTTGCCAAAGATTATGATTTTCTAAGTTTCAGTTTCTTGGAACATTCACATTAAATAAGCATATATCCTCCCACTCCCAACTCAATTCTGAAAGGTATATATTCACAGGCTGCCAACACAGCAGACTGATCCTATAGGGAAACTATTTTCTGTAAGATTTTGGAGTGTGAGAAAGTTCAAGGCAAGTTTTCATAGAGTTCTGAGGTATACGGTCATCAGTGCTACGTCAATAAATTTTTAAATCATCCTCCAGAATGTTTCACTTGAGTCTACAGCATTTACTGTGAAGAACTGCATTTTGTGTAACTTTAATCTACGTGTGGCCTTGCAGAGGAAGCTGTAACTACTTCAGGTCTGACTGAGCTATTTTTTTACAGCTGAATTAGTTTCTCCTGCTGGTTCCTCTTCAAAAGTCTGTGAAACCATCTTCCTGACCACTTATATTCAGTGCTGCGATTATTCATCTCAATCTCAGAACAGGAACGTACACTAAATAAACAGGTGATAAACCCTCCATCCACAAAACTACATCTTTTCACTGTCCTGGGTGCATATTCCTCCACCTCACTGCCTGCATCCTCTACCTTGCTTCTTGTGTTCTTTCCCTCACCTGGAAAGCCTCTCTGTCTATCTCCAATCTACTTAGATTATTTTTCTCCTTCAAATCCAATTCAAATGCCAACTCTCCAGTACTCTAACCTCCGCTCTCTTCTTGGGAGTCTGAATGAGATAATTAAAGTTTCAAACCTTGTATTTGGCATTATTGTTTCATATTCATTGGTCTTGTCCTCTCAGAAAGTGTGTAAGTTCACTGTTGGTACAGAACATGGACCAAATTTTGTAATATCTACATTAACTAGTCTATTGTACATATAAAATAGATATTTCATGAGATATACTCTGACTGACCTGGGTTACTTTTTCAAAATGAACATGAAATTGGAACCTCAGCTTCATTTGTGACATCTTTATGGACTTGATTCAGTCATTTAAACTGTATATATTTTTTAACTGAACACAGAAGCTCTTTTAAAATTTGTGGTAAAACTAATGCATATAACCTGGAGCCTTCTGAAATAGTCTTTTCCTTACCAATCTCTTGGGCATCTTGGTTGCTCTGTCTTGCTCTCATCTGTAGCTGGAACTTATGCTGGGAAGAGCAGAGGTGCAGCAGGTACTGGCATACTTTACTGTTTTCTGTCTGGAAGGAATGTTTTATTCCATCTGATGTATTTTGCAATGTGATTTTCTTTTTCTACAATATTAAACAGTATTATTCATTATTAGGATGATTTCCTAGGATTAATATTATAAATATTATTTATATTCCCCATATTAGGCATGGATATTACTTGACCTACTTCTAATATAAACATAGAAAATACACTCCTGTATAATTACTAAAAATTCAGGAAATAAAATAATACTTTTTACCACTTTTTTTTTTGACAGGCAGAGTTAGACAGTGAGAGAGAGAGAGAAACAGAGAGAAAGGTCTTCCTTCTGTTGGTTCACCCCCCAAATGGTTGCTACGGCCGGCGCGCTGCACCAATCCGAAGCCAGGAGCCAGGTGCTTCCTCCTAGTCTCCCATGCGGATACAGGGCCCAAGCACTTGGGCCATCCTCCACTGCCTTCCAGGGCACAGCAAAGAGCTGGACTGGAAGAGGAGCAACTGGGACAGAATCAGGCACCCCAAGCGGGACTAGAACCTGGGGTGCTGGCGCCGCAGGTGGAGGATTAGCCAAGTGAGCCACGGCGCCGGCCTACTTTTTACCACTTTTAACAGTTACAGCCTAAGAAAATTATAAACGTGTCTCCAGCAAGGGAAATTATTGAGATTATTGGCATTTTTAGGTTATAACAATGCTTACAAAAACCAAAACTGTTTGAAAAAGAAATACAGGGGACTTCAACAAGTTCATGGAAATGCATATTATCTTTTAATTCTATATTTCCAGAAACATTTTTGAAGCTCCCTTGTATGTCCTCTATTCCCCTGTGTGTAGAAACTGAAATTCAACAAGAATGTTTAAAATTAATATATATAGCAAGTCCAGTATACCTGGGTGGGATGATGGCTAGGATAGAAGTTGTGAGAAGTTAGGAAAATGTGGGAATGGAGTGGTACTGGATAATGTAACTGCTGCACTGAGAAATGAAATGCACTGGTGTTTAGAGATGGCAGTTCTTGATAAATTCGGAAAAAGTAGGAAAATAGCTAACCAGTTTTTATGTCTCTGATGTTTCTTGAAAAATGACTATCTCTTGCATAAGAGGGCATCTCAAAATTTGTGCTGAGGCTTGGAGGTGATCCACATGCCTTAAAAGACTAGCATTCCATGTGCTAGGGTCCAGGAGTAATGTCTCCGGAGAATTGCTTAAGTCCAGTCTGTTGCGCAAATTACTCTCTCTGCTTTGTGCCTCCTGTCTTTACTTCCAGTGCAGAAATAGGCACAGCAAGGGCAAATTCAGCAGCCTCACAAAAGATATGATAAAGTATTACCCAAACTTTATTCATGCAGCTGCTATATTCATAATATCTGGTTTTGTTTATTTAGAATTTTTTTTTTTTTTTTTGACAGGCAGAGTGGACAGTGAGAGAGAGAGAGAGAGAGGTCTTCCTTTTACCGTTGGTTCACCCTCCAGTGGCCGCTGCGGCCGGCGCACCATGCTGATCCGAAGCCAGGAGCCAGGTGCTTCTCCTGGTCTCCCATGGGGTGCAGGGCCCAAGGACTTGGGCCATCCTCCACTGCACTCCCTGGCCACAGCAGAGAGCTGGCCTGGAAGAGGGGCAACCGGGACAGAATCCGGCGCCCCGACCGGGATTAGAAACCTGGTGTGCCGGCGCCGCAAGGCAGAGGATTAGCTTATTGAGCCGCGGCGCCGGCCTTATTTAGAAATTTTAAAAATGACTTTTCTTACCTACAAAAAATCACTTTAAAGAATCTTCATATTACAGCCGTAAAAAGAAAACCAGTACTACATTTAGTAAATAGAATCCAGCTGTGACTATAACAATGCTATAAAAACAAACATTATTTAATTCTAGTTAAATATTGTTAATGAAATCTCTGGGACTAAACTTGTCTTCTCTGTTAAAAAAATGAAACCATCAAGTGTTACAGAGGAGTTAAAAATATAGTAACACCAAACTAGTATCTTGATTAGCATAAGTATATCTAGTAACTCTTCAATAGGGAATTTTTTTCTATTAAAAATACCATTAACTGCTGTTAAGTAATTTGTAAGGACATTGACTGCCACAGCTGTAGAGCTCATTCACTGATTGAAGCCTAAATATGGAAAAACTGAATCTCCTTAGTCTGTTAGACAAGAGAACTCTGGAACTGGTGTCTGTAATAAAACAGACAGAGGCACCAAAGGGGTACACCCTCAAAAAAGGCCAAGGATAGGTTACAAGTCTAAAATAATAATGAAAAGTGATATTAGATATTTTAATAACTATGAACGATACACAGGTTTGAAACAAATGAGAAAAAATTAGATAATCTCTCAGTGTTAACTGAGGAGCTGGACAAGAAATGTGCTTGAGGGGACTCAGTGTGAGAGATGAAAAGGCTGAAGCATGACTTTTTCCATCTCCTCTGAAGTTAATGATGGAAAAGGATGGTTACAAAGGAGAACTCTTGGCTAGAGAAACAACTCCAGAATAAACTGTGCTGTTAAATACAGGAATAGTTTGCATGGGAATACGATCTATTTTCTGTTACAGCAGACCTTTAAAAATGAGCCAATTACAGTTAGTACTACAAATGGGGGCTCCTGTGGTAGCTTGCCAAGTGACATGGAGCTTAATGCAATATGATTATTTGACCTGTGCCTTGTACTTAATTTATCTAACGTTTCCCTCAGACAGACACCAGCATTTTAACTGCTGAATGGCAAATTAAACCCAGGTAATTTCTTGGCCTTGACAATCCTGGGATGATGAGGGCAGTCTGGGATTTCTTGAGAATATATTATTTTTTGGTAATCTTAATGATACCTCTAGGTTTTGTAGGAAATCAACCAACTAACCATTAGGTCTAGAACTAATTTCAAAGTTCCGTGGGTTGGATATTATCCAGGGTACTTCAACATTCTTATAAATAGTGTTCTAGTGAGATTGTATTTCAGTAGTTCATGTATGAACTAATGGTGTCAGTAGTCCCTGAGAACCACTAGGAAAACAAATAACTGAACATATTTTAAATTCATCTGGGGTTTTCTAAGGGCACTTCAATGTTCAGATACTCCAACTATGTCCAAAATTAAAATATGCCTTTATATCTCACTATCTTCCATAAATACATTCTTTTCTTAAAAATCTGTGGGGAGCAACCCGGACTAGACTAAGTTACTGGAATTAAGACTTATTCTATGCATCTGCTCTCCCACAATATGGCGCTGGGAGAGAAGAAAACAGCTTCTACACAGCTGCCTCCAGTTCAACCAATAAACTGTAGGACTTGCTCCTGATTGGAGGAGAGCAGCGTACTCGATGTGTGGGCAGCCGAGTTGGGATTGGCAGAGGAGGACTATAAAGGAGGAGAGAGACGGCATGCACCAGGAACATCTAAGAGGGAACATCTAAGGGAACACCTGTGCAGCCCCCGAGAGAGCCGGCCGGCGGTGTGCCACTCCCCTGCGGAAGTGGGGAATGTGGCAGGGGGAACCGCCCTTCCACGGAGGTGGAAGGGACAGTAGCCAACCCGGGAAGAACCAGCAGCAAACCCGGGGAGGGCCGAGCAGACGAAAGAACAGCGCAGGGTTCTGTGTCGTTCCTCCACGAAGAGGGGGAGCGACAAAAATCATTTTCTAACTTTACTTCTATAGAGTATACACTAGAACATAAAAACTGCAGGAAGTCAAAGGACAAGTTCATAAATAAATAAATCTAATAAATCTCTGAACCTCTGAGAACAATCAAATAACACTGTCTGTGAGAGATTTATTAAGGGAGACAAGGTTCACTGGAGTTAATTACTCCTCTTCAAACATTACCAGGGGTTTCCATGTGAGAACTTATATCACGAGAATAAGTTCTGACTTAACAGGGAATTCAGCTTGGTTGTGATTTAACTGAAGTTAACTGGGCACATAACCAGCTAGGAATATATAGCAGTCTTTTCAAAACTACTTTCTGAGAAAATCAGAAACAAACAAAATCCCAAAGATATTTCCTTCAACTCAGAAGGAAGAGTTAAATAGTATTGCGACATTTTGGCCCTACTGAAGGGTAGGTTCTAAAGTGTACTTAAGGGAAATCGGTTTATTATGTTACAATGGAAACTGCTAATACCAATTAATATATTTAAAAGAGGTTAAAATGGACATACAGAAAAAGAAATCTTCTTGGTTTCCCTCCATGGAAAGCGAAGGACCAACGTGCGAACTCCATTGTGAACTTCAAACACAAGGACACCTTTAGCACAGACTCCAAGCAAAATTCCTGTTTGTGATTTTTTCTCAGGGTGAATCCTATGAAAATGAACTCCATATTCTGTCAGTCTTTGGCAGACCTAATGGAACAAAACCATACCATAGTGATACAGTTTGGCAAAAGGTGATGTAAAGATATAGAGTTTGTAATAATATAGTTTAATGTGGAAAGTAAATTCTTTTCTTGCTGGGAAAACATATTCAGATGCAAAAAGAATATCTCAAACCTTACTTTACCTGATATGTGAAAATGGACCTGAGATTTAAATACAGAAACTAAAAGTACAAAACTTAGAAAATCTACATGACATTGGATTAGGCAAAGATTTCTTTTCTTCTCTTTTCTTCTTTTTTTATTTGACAGATAGAGAGACAGAGAGAAAGGTCTTCCTTTCGTTGGTTCACTCCCCAAATGGCTGCTACAGCCAGAACTACAACGATCCAAAGCCAGGAGCCAGGTGCTTCCTCCTGGTCTCCCATGTGGGTGCAGGGCCCAAGGACTTGGGCCATCCTCCACTGCCTACCCGGGCCACAGCAGAAAGCTGGACTGGAAGAGGAACAACTGGGATTAGAACCCGGTGCCCAAATGGGATGCCGGCACCGCAGGTGCAGGATTAGCCAAGTGAACCATGGTGCAACCCCCAGGTAAAGATTTCTTAGATGTTACATAAAAAGCATGAGCCACAGCAGAAAAAGTTGATAATTTAAACTTTATTAACATTAGAAACTTGCTTCTCAGGGCCCAGTCAGTGTTGTGGCATACCATGTTAAGCCACTGCTCACAGTGCTGGCATCCCAAATGAATGTTGGTTTTAGTCCAGGCTGCTCTACTTCCAATCCAGCTCCTTGCTAATGTGCCTGGGAAAGCAGGAGAAGATGGCCCAAGTACTTGGGCCCCTGCCACCCACATGGAGAGATCTAAATGGAGTTCCAGGCTCCACCCCTAGCTGTTGTGGCTATCTGGGGATTGAACCAATGAACTGAAGATACCCTTCCACCTCCCCCATTGTTAACTCTGCTTTTCAAATAAATTTTTAAGAAAAAGAAAAGGGAGAAAACACAGGAGAAAACAGCATTCATCATAAAAGAAAACATTTAATTTTTTTAAAAAAACCTGTTCATCAAAAGTCAATTGTTAAGAAAATAAAGGCAATCCACAGGCTGGGAGATAAATATATGTAAAATATACATATATGATAAAAGAATTATATCTACAATATAAAAGAATATTTAGTTCCAGAGATGGAGACATAATGAGATACAAACATGAACAAAAGTTTTATCAGATCAGTAAAGAAGATATACGAGTAGTAAAGCAAATAAACTGGGACTCACTTATACAACCACAATTTGGCAACTAATAAAAATAAACAAATTGTTCCATATCTGTACAAGGGAAAACTATTCAGCAATTAAAAAAAAAAACAAACTACTGATAGATACCATAGAATGCTGAATTTCAAGGGTTTAATTCCAAGTGAAGAAAGATGGAAAAGAATGCATGGTTATTTATATGAAATCCAAGAAAAGAAAAAACTATGATAATAGACAGCAAATCAGAAGTTTCCAGGAGCTAGTGGTTAAGGAGGAGATTGAGTAAAAGCAACACAAGGGGACATTTTTGTCTTAGTTGGTAGCTATAAAGCTGCTACAAACACTGAACATATATTTTTGTGTGAACATAGTTTTGGCACAGTGGTTCAGATACCATTCGGGACATGCACTCCCTGGTTTCTGGTTCACTCCCCAAATGTCTGCAACAGTGGGGGCTGGGCCAGGTTAGAGCCAGGAGCCAAGGACACTATCTGGGTCGCCCATATGGGAGGGACCCAAGTACTTGAGTCACCTCACAGTGTGCATCAGCAGGAAGTTGGGATCGGGAGTCGGAGGTAAAACTCAAACCCAAGTACTTAACTGCTTGGGATGTGTTCGTCCTAAATGGTATCTGAACCACTCTGCCAAATGCCTAACCCCTTCAACATATCTTATTTTGGAAAAAAAATTATTGTTTGTAATTTTGAAAGCTTACCTTCAAAAATTCTAACTCCGTCTCCTTCTCAGATGCTCCCACATAGGTATGATGCAGTTTAGGCAACTCTTCTTTTATATAGGATAAATCAAGTTTCTCCATTACTCTGGCAGGCAGATAATGCTCCAGTCTAAAATAAGACACTCCATGAACCTAGAGAGGAGAATGCTTTGGTAATAACTGTTTGCCCTTTACTGTATTGCACCTTCCCTCTTGCTCCTATCTTAAAGGCCTTGCCTTGGCCAACAGAGGAAATACTTTTATTTCTACTTCTCTTTTTGAGGAATGAGTTTCAAAAGAAATGCATCAGTTTTTCTCTTTCCTTCAATGAGGCAGAGTGACAAACCTGATTGGCTAGCTGGAGGAGAGTGACATTCAAACATCTCATGTCACTAGAGTTAAGGATCAGTATGAAGGTTGCTGTTGCAGTGGCACAGTCTCTTGGCCCTTGCTTCCTCTTAGATTGCTTGTGTTTAGAAATATTAGACTTTGAATAGACAGTGAGTTGTCCATGGAGTGAGCTCTGCTAGGTTCCAAGCCCATCACTCTGTGGATCTGTGTGGAAGGTAGAAGATCCTTCTAATCTTTATTTGGCTAATAACCACTGTGTCTAGTCTTTGTTAGTCAGAACCTGGGAGAAGGAGAGGTAAGTGCTATATATCCCTAAACTCCTTTTTTTATTATTTATTTTTTTTAATTTAATAAATGTGAATTTACAAAGTGCAACTTTTGTATTGTTGTGGCTCCCCCCCAACCTCCCTCCCTCCCGCGGCCCTCCCCTCTCCCACTCCCTCTCCCATCCTGCCCTTCATCGAGTTTCATTTTCAATTACCTTCATATACAGAAGATCAACTTAGTATACACTAAGCAAGGATTTCAACAGGCTGCACTCACACAACCGCACAAGGTATAGGGCATTGTTTGACTAGTAGTGTTGTTTTTAAGTTTCATAGTAAAACACATTAAGGACAGAGATCCTACATGGGGAGCCTGTACTCAGTGACTCCCGTTGTTGATTTAACAATTGGCACTCTTATTTATGACATCAGCAATCACCCGAGACTCTTGCTATGAGCTGTCTAGGCTATGGAAGCCCCTTGAGTTCACCAACTCTGAACTTGCCTAAACTCCTTTTTAAAGTTTATTTATTTGAAAAACAGAGTGGTGGTGGGGTATGTGGGTCAAGAGAGAGAGACAGAGAGAGATCTTCTGTTTGCTGGTTGATTCCCTAAATGCCAACAACGGCTGGGATTAGGACAGGCTAAAGCCTGGAGCCTAGAATTCTATCCAGGTCTCTCACATGGATGGTAAGCACCCAAGTATTTGAGCCATGATGTGCTGTCTTCCACGGTAGCATTAGCAGGAAGCTGGATTTGAAGCAGAGGCAGGACTCAAATCCAGGCACTCCAATATGTGATGTGGGTGTCATGAGTAGCGGCTTAACTACGGCACCACCAAGCCAGCTCCAAAATAGGATCATTTTAAAACAGTATGATTTCATAAAAGCAATGTACATAAGGAGTTTGGTCATTCTGAGGCATCAAATAAATCTCAAAACTCTTCAGATCCAAACATCACACACCTCAAGCCAGTTTAGAACTTAATTATGCTAAGGAAAAGAACATCAATTAAAAAGTGGTCCTGTGGCTGGCACTGTGGAATAGTGGGTAAAGCTACCGCCTGTAGTGCCAGCAACCCATATGGGCAACAGTTCGAGTCCCGTTCTAGCTCTCTGCTATGGTCTGGGAAAGCAGTGGAAGATGGCCCAAGTCCTTGGGCCCCTGCACCCATGCGGGAGACCCAGAGGAAGCTCCTGGCTCCCGGCTTTGGATTGGCGCAGCTCCAGCCGTTGCAGCCAACTGGGGAGTGAACCAGCGGGTGGAAGACCTCTTTCTCTGCCTCTCCTTCTTTCTCTGTATAACTCTGCCTTTCAAATAAATAATCTTTGAAAAAAAAAAAGTGGTTCTGGAGGAAAAACCAAATCCTACCTCTGGTTGATAATCTCCATACTCAGCCTGGAGAGCCAAAGATGCCAACAATAAGGAAGTCTCATCATCACAGTGCATCCTCTCCTCCAGAATATCTTTCCGCAGCTGAAGGTAATACTGATGACAAGTCAGAGTATGTCTGAAAAAAAGTAAACAAACACACAGAAACATCTAGGCTTTTGATTTGAATCTTGGGGCAATTTTTATTATTAGCATATAAATTTAGTTTCCAAGATGATTTATGATTAAGTTAATTTTATTTTATTTATTTGAAAGGCAGAGTAACACAGAGAGAGAAATAAAGAGAAAGAGAAAAAGAGGAAGAGGAAGAGGAAGAGAGAGAGAGAGAAAGAGAAAGAGAAAGAGAAAGAGAAAGAAAGAAAGAGAAAGAGAAAAAGAGAAAGAGACCTTCCATCTACTGGTTCGTTCCCCAAATGGCTGCAATAGCAGGGGTTAGGCCAGGCCTAAGGTAGAAGCCAGGAACTCTATCTGGTCTCCCGTGTGGGTGACAAGGGTCCAAGTGCTTGGGTCATCTTTTGCTGCTTTCCCAAAGACATCAGAAGGGAGCTGGAGCAGAGAAGTCAGGATTCTAACTAGCGCTTCCATATGGTATCCTGGTGTTGTAGGCATCAGCTTAACCTGCTATGCCACAACACCAGCTCTTTAAGTTTTAAGGCACAAGAGTTCAACAAACCAAGTCGAAGGAAATACAGTTGCCCCTTTTATCCACAGGAGATATGTTCTAAGATCCTCAGTGGATCCTTGAAACCAAGGATAGCATCAAAGCCTGTATGTACCATGTTTTCTCCTATCATCTACCTATGATACTATATAAATTAGGCACAATAGGAGACTAACACCGTTACTTAACCGTGCATCCTGGGAGCTTCAGCAGATGATTTGCTTTTCACATTAAGAACATTCATTTTTTCATTTACAGGAAACGCTTTATGGCTTCTCTTAGGCATATCCAAGTGCCAGCATCACTACTCCTGTGCTCTGGGGGCCATTGTTAAAGAAATAAGGGCTACTGGAACACAAGCTTCATGACATGGTGGTGCAGCTGATCTGCCAACTGAGAGGGCTATTCCATGACTGAGGGGGGTGGCATACACAACATGGATATGCTGGACAAAGGGATGACTCATGTCAGGACAGGACAAAGCAGGATATGCAAGATTGTGTCTCACTAATCAGAACAGCGTGCAGTTTAAAACTGTTTATTTCTGGAATTCCTCATTCAACATTTTCAGATTACAATAGAATGTGGGTTATTGAAATTGCAGATAAGCAGGAACTACTGTATTTCTTTTGGGATAAAGACATTATTGTGGAATAAAAAAAATTCAGTATCAGTAAGCTAAAGAGTCAATATAGGGAAATGCCAAAAAGAGTGAAGGAGAAACTTTCATGTACTCACTGTATTAGACTGACATCATCCATGAAAAATTTAATTCGGAAAAACAAAGTAAAATTAACAGTAGCTTTACTCTTTTTCTTTGGTTCTTCCTTCCATCCATCTGGGGCCACTTTGGTTAATTTTAAATCAGGATCAACAAAGAAATATTCATTATCTAAAACAGAATGAGAAAAACATTCATATAAAAATACTTTTAATGTTCTCTTCTGATATCTTCATTTTGGGGTCAAATTTACACAAAACAGTATTATATGGGAATAAAACAAGATTGTTAAGAAGGATGGCACAGAGCACTAAAGCCTGGTACAGGGATAAGAGGCCATATTGCTTAGTCTTTTAAGAATGGGGCCCTAAAGATAGACCTGGATTCAGTTCCTGGTCACATGATGTATCATCTGTATGACACTGAATAAATTATATTTTTTCTCTATGGATATCAACTTATTGTCTGACTAATCAATATAGTAATAATTCTTGCTTTATAAGACTGCTGTAAGGCTCAAATGATGTAATGGATATAAACACTTGATTAAACAAGGTAATTTTATGCACTGAATAATATTAGCTATTATTTACTACTATTGAGCTATCAGGTGAAGCATAATAGGAATGAGTCATCATTTATGTATTTTTATTTTATAAGCCCATAACTTATTACTAACTCTTTCCAAATTAAATGATTATTTAATGAAATCTGTTTTCTCCAGAATATTTAAGTAATTAGATATATTGTAAATAGAAATTGTGATTAGTTGAATATCTTCACATAGTGTTACCTGATTAGTCTAAAAATGAAATTAGTAAAGTAATAGACCTCAGTTGCTACTAATTTAGTACTTATTGGATATTGTACAAAATGAATTACTCATTTTTAAAGTACAAGAATTTAATGCACTATGTTAAAGGAAACATTTATTTTCAAATAAAGACATTATCACAATTTAGTTTCAGATTCATTTTACTTATTTTACCTTTCAATTGTCATTTATGGCACGTTATTGTCTAAAATTTATAAATTAAATTTTGAGTAAATAGGATTCTGAAATTTGAAGAGTAATTTCTAAATACAATGATTATTAGAGAAGATTAAACTCAAAGAGCCTGTGAAAGCTATGGGAACTCTGTTAAGGTGGAGAGGCTTCTACTGAGGCTGAGCACTGAGACTGATATGGTAGTAGAAGTCATGCAGTTCAGGATAGAATGCGTAAAATACGTGAAACGGGGGTCGGCACTGTGGCATAGTGGGAAGGGCTGCCACCTGTGGTGCTGGCATCTCACGTGGGCACTGATTCCAGTGTCGGCTGCTCCACTTCTGATTCAGCTCCCTGCTAACAGCCTGGGAAAGCAGTGGAAGACGGCCCAAGTGCTTGGGCCCCTGTGCCCATGTAGGAGACCTGGTAGAAGCTCTGGCTCCTGGCTTTTGACCAGCCCAGCTCCAGCTGTTGCAGCCATCTGGGGAGTGAACCAGTGATGAAAGAACTCTATGTCTCTACCTCTCTGTCTCTGTAACTATGCATTTCAAATATAATAAACAAATCTTAAAAAAAGATACATGAAATAACTCAATTTCAATCATTGGGAAAATTTAAAATAATAATAAACATAGCTATAAAAAATGTACATAGCTGGGAGGAGGAAAGGAGTTCCTAACTCATTGCAACTTTTCAAGGCTAACTTGCTCATTTAGTTAATATCTCCCCAAATGAGGCCAGACATGAAAACAGTTACAGAGGGGCTGGCATCGTAGTGCAGCAGCAAACCGGCCCAAATCCTTGGGTCTAGGCTCCTGGCTTTGGCCAGGCCCAAACTGACTTTCAAATAAATAAAGCAAACCTTAAAAAAAATAAGTATAGAGGTTAGCTTATTGCCAAGTTTCTGTAGTATACTTTGAATTTAAATGTCTTGGTACCTTTTAGGGTAGCTAAAGCAAACAAATGGTGCTCCACTAAGCCAATATGAGCCACAACCATATCAAACACATCTTTACATATAGTTTTGGTATCACAGGTCAGTTCCAGTCTCTGCCCACTCAAAAGCATTATGTTTACTTTTCTTCTGTTATCCTCATTCTTCCCTTTCTTGGTCTACAATCAGAAAAAAAAGCATTTATTAAAACAATTATCATAAGAATTTTCACTTGTTTTTAAACAGAAAACTGTCAAATTATTTTCTAAGATTGACACAAATTGGTTTTAATACTTACAAGGATAGACCGTGGCAAATCCAAAGATACAAATGGTTCAATTGTCATTTTCACAAACTCAGGGCCAAAGAAGTTCTACAAATCACACAAATAGAAGTAACAGCTTTTATTATTTATTCTAGTTCTTTCCTTGAAAGGAAAATAATGTAATAGTAGTAAATTACACATGAAGTTACGAGATATTAGCTAGGTCACCAAAAACAAATGCAAAAACTTTCAATAAAGAAAACATTGGAGTTTCCCCAAAATAGGAATGGAACATGCCTTAAATTAAGTTCTAACAAAAAATTTCTTTTATTTATCTATCTATTTATTTATTTTTATTTTATTTATTTATTTATTTATTTATCTATTATTTATTTTTATTTTTGACAGGCAGAGTTAGACAGTGAGAGAGAGAGACAGAAAGAAAGGTCTTCCTTCTGCACTGTGCCGATCCGAAGCCAGGAGCCAGGCGCTTCCTCCTGGTCTCCCATGTGGGTGCAGGGCCCAAGCACTTGGGCCATCTTCCACTGCCTTCCTGGGGCACAGCAGAGAGCTGGACTGGAAGAGGGGCAACTGGGACAGAACAGGCGCCCCAACCAGGACTAGAACCCAAGGTGCCGGCGCCTCAGGCGGAAGATTAGCCTAGTAAGCCGCGGTGCCGGCCAAAAGCCTTAATTTTTAAAGTAAATCATGGCTATCCAGCTCATGTAACGATTAGGCTTAGTACTGCTACTGTGTGAAGTGACTAAAGAGAATCTCGTTGTTTCAGAGGGTGATATTCAATCTAAAATGAGTTACAGTTAAAGGACAGCTACTTGTTGCCTACAAAATCTACATATCTATCAGAAATCATGATTTTGGAACCCTGAGACCCTGTGCTTTTGTGTTTTAGAGAGTAACAAGACATAGTACAGATATTACATAGCCTCTGATCTTGTCAATGCCATTTAGAAGGAAATGGTGGTGGGAGGGACTCAAGAGATGGGCAAAGTAGAGTCTGCTTCTTTTAGCCAAGAGGGGACTATTAGTTTAGGAGATAACTTAAAGCAAATTGGACTCCAGGTTGGACAATGACTGAGAACAGACTGAAAGATCATGTCCAAATGGGCGAAACTAAAATGAATACAGGACTAATCTTGAGTCCAAAGACAAGTGTGTGTGTATGTGTGTGTAAACTAACAGAAGTTACTGGAGTTTTGTTTTTGTTGGCTTTCACATTTGGTTGTGCAGCTCGTCTAGTTGCTTGCAGTGGGAATTCTATCAAACTAACCAGGTGTGTAACACGTGAGAGATATCATTTAAGTAAAAGTTTAACATTAAGGGTTTGTTAATAGTCAATGAACCGACAGGACAGACTTTAAACAAGAACAGAAACAGTAGGAAAAAAAAAAAGGTTTGTCATGGGATGCACAGATCATGCATGAACAAGTTAAAATGTGTCTGAACCAAAAGGAAATGGGGGAAAAAAACCTAAAAATGTATGCTTTGGGAAAAAATATCAATTCAACTGTGAAACTGTTCTCCAAATACTAGCATCCTTTTTCAGCCTAAAAACGTGAGCTCCTGCTCCTTTTAGGAAAAAATGCAAGGCACTCCTTTAATGATCAGTAGTTGAAATTATCTAATTGTTAATATAGTATATCTCTGATGAAAAAAATGCTTACTTTCAAATAGCCAAATAATGACTGTCTGCAAAGTAAACAGAGATTTTTCAAGGAGATGGCACAGAAAAGTGACACACTGCAAAGGTACGATCTACAGTTCATGAATCACTGGTCCCAGATTAGCTCTCTGAAGCTGTTGGTTTAGGAAATAGGTTTGTGTGAGTGTATGTGTGCACCATTTATGCTGCTAACTTAGTTTTTATATTGGAAGCCCAAACTATTTTGTATGGTATACTGCCTGTTACTTAATTTTGACATAAGTATTGGTTATAATGATAAACCATGAAGTGTTATTGATCTTTCTTTCAGTTATATCTTATTGAAATCTAAACACTTTAAAATTGAACAGTGTCTTATAAATTGCAACCTAATTCCATATTTGTAAAATTAGCATACTGAGGCATAAAGAGGCTTAACAATTTAAATAATGTCATAAGACACCATCATAAGGAATAAAATCCATGTATTCCAGTTGATAATTCAATGTAATTTTCACCAAAAAACTTTTTTTTCCTTAGAATACTAAAGGAAGTTTGAATCCTAAACTTCAGATCAGAGCATAAAAATGTGCTAATATAATTTAAAGCAATAAACTCAAATCAAAACCAGTATAGGGCAATATACTTTCAAAGTACTATATCAAAAAGAAAAAAAAATTGTAGGTTATAACAAGTTTACTATCATTATTTTAATTTTAAAAATTATTTTAAAGTAATATTACAAATTGGTGATGATAAATTTATAATCTCCAGAGTAGGTAAGAATATGGTGATATATAGGCCCAATTAGAAGAATATATACATTAAAAAATCTCCCCCCTAAGATGTAAGATGCAGACTAGTTCCTTCCTGTCTTTGGATACTGTAATGTGAGAACACGATGGCTGGAGTGAATGAATATAGACATCTTTTAACTATAAAGCAAATGTTTGCCCAAATTCTGGGAATGACAAACCAGAAAGATGGAAATATATCTGACAGCATTCTTGAGCTTCTGAACAAACTTTGAACTTTCCATCTCAAATATCAATTGGTGGGATAATACATTGCTTAATATTAAAAAATAACCTTCTACAATACTGAATAAAGCCAGCTGATTTCAAGGCTCATAAACAGACTTTTTTTTTTTTTTTTTTATTTTTTATTTTTTTATTTTTTTGACAGGCAGAGTGGACAGTGAGAGAGAGAGAGACAGAGAGAAAGGTCTTCCTTTGCCGTTGGTTCACCCTCCAATGGCCGCCGCGGCCGGCGCGCTGCGGCCGGCGCACCGCGCTGATCCGATGGCAGGAGCCAGGAGCCAGGTGCTTTTCCTGGTCTCCCATGGGGTGCAGGGCCCAAGCACCTGGGCCATCCTCCACTGCACTCCCTGGCCACAGCAGAGGGCTGGCCTGGAAGAGGGGCAACCGGGACAGAATCCGGTGCCCCGACCGGGACTAGAACCCGGTGTGCCGGCGCCGCTAGGCGGAGGATTAGCCTAGTGAGCTGCGGCGCCGGCCCATAAACAGACTTTTAAAATAGACAGCTAAGACACTATAAAGCCATCTAATGTTATTTTAAAAATGAAAACAGCTAAGTATTTTAATATCAACCAACAAGATATTTAATCCTAGTGGAAACTAATATGGAATTTCAATTTGACCTATATGTAATTTTAGCATACCTACAGCATTTTTTTACCTAACAATTCCCTGTGAGAGCAAGTGTAGATGTCATAACCTGAAAATCAAGTTACCCTCAGCTTTCTTTGTGTCATGGCTGTTTCTAGGGCAATTTCCCTTAATGGATCCCTGGTGATGTCAAGCATGGAAGCTTTGATTGTGTCTCCTGGGTACAGGCTCAACCGAGACTGTCTGAGGGCCATTCTGGCTTGCAGTTGCATCATTTCTTCTTCTTGCCGTTTTAGCATGATCTCTTGATTAATTAAGTTGCCTTCAAGGGGTGTTTCATACTGTCTGCTACAGAAAAAAAAAGGAGAAAAGTAAGGATTAGATGTCAAAAAATAAAAATAAGAAAGAAAACCACTGTTTTAAGGCTAAAAAAACTCCATGTTAAAATCAAGATATCAAGAATTTAAAGAAATTTAATTTCTTTCATTTGAGAAGAATTTTTTACATTACACAGTGTGGCAAATATAGATATTACATATTTGAATATAATATGATATAATATTACATGTACATATTTGATTTTGATCTGTGCCTTTGATTCCTGACAAACAGTTCCTAAAACCCTTGTAGTTTCCTGAACCATAGACGGTGATAAGATAATCTTTTATTCTGATATTTGGCTTTTGACTCCAGTTTCTGACACAGAGCTCCTAAACCCCTTGTGACTTTTTGGGTGATAGGAGCCTCTTTTGTTAGAATGAGGAAACACCTGTTGGGTCCCTCAATAGCTCAGGCAGGAGCTGGTTTCCAGAAAGACCAAGCCTTGATGAGAAGCCTAGAACTTTTGAGATCTCCCTCTCCAATCTTGAGGCAGAGGGGAAAGGCTGGATATTGAGTTAATAACTGATTATACCTTTGGAACGAAGTCTCCATAACATCCTCTAAGTCGTTCTAGCAAATTATCAAACCCAAAGGGAGGGTTACAGGAACCTTTTGATCTGTTTGTAACTGACTGATGAAAACGGGAGTCCTGAGACTCCCAACTGGCACCTAAAGCGGGGCAATATTGTGGGACTGATTCCCTAAGTTGTGCGATCTGATGACAACTTCAGGTATTTAGTGTCAGAGATGAATTAAATTGTAGGACACTCAGCCAATATCCAAAGAGTTGTAGAACTGGTTGTTGACATGAAGGAAAACACCATGTATTTGGTGTCGGAAAAGTTCTGTGGGAAACAACAGTTTGTGGTACACAAAGGAGCACTGAGTTGTACATTTAAGGTATTGCTCTACTGCTGTCCTATTTTTTAACATGTAGATCTATATCCCTCTCCTCTTCTCTGAACATCCCAGCAGCTTCTAGAGACTGCTTCTTGTTGATTCAGATAGAGGCTATTTTATCCTTACAAGCCTTGTGACACTGCACCTTGGAAGTAGGAAGAGATTCTCCTTAATTTTTATTTAAGCTTTTGGACCACTACTGAAAACTCCTTCAATAACCCCAGACTCCCCCAAGTTCCTGTCATGAAAGCATAATATCTATTAATCTACTTTGCTGTATAAATTTGTTAGTCTTGTTAGTCACTCCCCCTTGTTAATTGAAGATTTAAGTGCCATAGGGCTAGTGCTGTGGCACAGTAGGTAAAGCCACCACCTGAAGTGCCAGAATCCCATATGGGTGCCTGTTAGAGTCCTGGCTGCTCCACTTCTGATCCAGCTCCCTGCTAATGTGCCTAAGAAAGCAGTACAAGATGGCCCAAGTCTCCCTGCACCTGCATGGGAGACCCAGAAGAAACTCCTGGCTTCATTCTTTTTTTTTTTTTTTTAACATTTATTTATTTATTTGAAAGTTAGAGTTACACAGAGAAAAGGAGAGGCAGAAAGAGAGGGAGAGAGGTCTTTCATGCACTGGTTTATTCCCCAATTGGCCGCAATGGCTGGAACTGTGCCAATCCAAAGCCAGGAGCCAGGAGTTTCCTCTGGGTCTTCCCACATGGGTGCAGGGGACCAAAGACTTGGGCCATCTTCTACTGCTTCCCCAGGCCATAGCAGAGAGCTGGATGGGAAGTGGAACAGCTGAGACTTGAACTGGTGCCCATATGGGATGCTGGCAGTGCATGCAACAGCTTTACCCGCTACACCACAGCACCAGCCCCTTGGCTTCATTCTGACTCTGCCCTGGATGTTGTGGCCATTTGGGGAGTAAACCTGCATGTGAAAAATCAATCTCTTTTTCTCTCTGCCTCTGCTGCTCTCTAACTCTGCTTTTCAAATAAATAGTAAATAAATCTTAAAAAAAAAAGAAGAAGACTTAAATGCCTCACTCAGTCTTTTTCTACCATTACTCCTGTCATCATCTGTGGTAGTGATATATCGAGGGAGAAGTCTCCCAATACTCTTGGCCTCTTTCCCATCTCAGCCCAAAACCTATTCCTATGGTCATGCTAGTTGTTAACAATAACCAAACTACCTCCAAAATTTCCTATTTCTATCCTCCCATATTCTGTGTACCCTCTGTAATTCTTTTACTTCACTGCCTCTAAAACCTTTCTTCAGATAATTCATTAATTGTTATGAAATTTAATTCATTAACCTGACTACTTTCTGCCAATTTCCTTTCTGTTGACTTCACATTGCTTTGATTCCAAAGTTTATCTTTAAAATTATTCCTTTGCATACAATATCAACTCTCTTGAAATGTAGAGCTGTGCTAACTGATCTCATTGGGCCCTCCCCATTGTCTGACAACTCATTTCCTTAGAGAATTATTTTACATTTTCTTCTACTCCCCCCCCTTTTTTAAAGATTTATTTATTCACGTGAAAGTCAAAGATACACAGAGAGAGGAAATGCAGAGAGAGAGGTCTTCCATCTGCTGGTTCACTCCCCAAATAGCTGCAACTGTAGGAGCTGGGCTAATCTGAAGCCAGGAGCCAGGAGCTTCTTCCGGATCTCCCACACAAGTGCAGGGGCCCAAGGACTTGGGCAATCTTCTAGTGCTTTCCCAGACCATAGTAGAGAGCTGGACTGCAGGTGGAGCCACCAGGATTAGAACTGGTGCCCATATGGGATGCCGGTACTTCAGGCCAGGGCGTTAACATGCTGTGCTACAGCGCCGGCTCCCCCTTTCCCTTTTTTAATGTTCCATTACTCTCTCCTTGTTCTTTCAATAGGTAATTTTTCTTCTTTTTTCTCAGTGAAATAAAAAGCAGTCAGGAAATAACTTTCCCATCCTTCCACCACCAAACTTCCCAAAAGTGTATCCTGATGTTCTACCTCCTCTTCTGTCACAATGGATGAATCTCCTGTACTCTTACATAGAAGTAAAACCCCTTACTGTGAATGGGATTCTGCCCCTCTCCCCATGCAAACACTTTGCTACTGTAATTATTATCAATACTCATACATATTTTTAGTATACAAACATGCTGTATAATTTAGAACAAAACAAAAATTTGAGTTCTACTTTCCCCTTTATGCTTCACTCCATTTTTTTCTGCTGTCTTTTAGAGTAAATCTTTTCAAACTATTCCAATAAAATGGGTAGCAAAAATGATTGATTCCTATGTTATCAAAGTCAAAGGATAATTCTTAATTTTCTTCTTAACTTGACCAGCAGCATCAGGTGATACAGTTGCTCAATATTACCTCTCCTTTTATTTATTTTTTTAAAAGATTTATTTATTTACTTGAAAGTCAGAATAACACAGAAAGAGAAGGAGAGGCAGAGAGAGAGAGAAAGAGAAGTTTTCTATCTGCTGGTTCACTCCACAATTGGAGTGGCACATTAGGTGACAACTGAAGCTGCACCAATCTGAAGCCAGGAGCCAGGAGCTTCTTCTGGGTCTCCCACGAAGGTGCAGGGGATCAAGGACTTGGGTGATCTTCTGCTGCTTTCCCAGGCCACAGCAGAGAGCTGAATTGGAAGAGGAGCAACTGGGACTTGAACCGGCACCCATATGGGATACTAGCACTGAAGGCGGAGGCTTTACCCATTACACCACAGTGCCGGCCCCACCTCTCCTTTTTAAAAAATTATGTACTATTTTATTTGAAGGGCAGAGAGGGGGAGAGGAGGGAGGAGAGGGAAGGAAGGAAGGAGAGAGAGAGAGAATCTTCCATTGTCTAGTTTCCTCCCCAGATTTGCAAAACAACTGGGGCTGGGCAAGGTCAAAGCCGGTAGCCAATCCAGGTATCCTAGGTAGGTGGCAGGGACCCAAGTACTTGAGCCATCATCTTCTGACTCCCTTGATGCGCATTAGCAGGAAACTGGAATTGGAAGTAGAGCTGAGTTTTGAACCTAAGTCTGCTGATAGGGATGTGTTTTTACAGTTTTTACAAGATGTGTTTTTATGGCTGCACCAAACTTCTGCCGATCAATCCTTCTGCTTCTTGAAATATCCGACTTCTGGGAAACCATGTTCTCCTTAATTTCCTTTTACTTCACTGGCTACTCTTTCTTAGTCACTTTTGCTGTATACTCCTTCATCTCTAATCTTTTATGTTAGATTATAATAATGCTCAGACCTTTAAATATTTCTGATCTCCATTTGTACTTCATATTTTATATTATCTATTCTACTCACACTGTCTTAATTACCTAGTATATTCTTCTAAGTTTGAAATGTATTTTTGAAACCCCAGCCTCTCTCCTGAGTTCTAATTCTGTTCACCTGCCTAGGTGAGTATTCTACTTGAATATTAATAGACATCTTTTGCGTAACATTTCTAAAACCAAATTCTTGATACTTTCCCTTCCAAGTCTAACTTCTCAATCATTTACCTTTTGTTTTGGACACAATTGGGAGTCATGTTTGATCTCTCTTTTTTTGTAAACCCAATTGAGGGACAAATCCTAAAGCCACAACTTAAAGACATCCATTTCTGACTCTTCACTAACAACCAAGTCTGTGCTACCATCTCAAATTGAATATTGTTACCTGTCTCCTAACTGGTCATTTATTCCTACAATCTGTTCATCACAGAACTGACCAGTGTAATCCTAATACCATGTAAATGAGATCATTACTCTTTATGCTTTCAATCATTCATCCAATGGCTTCCTATTACACTTAGAATAACACCTATAGTACTTACCTTTCATTCTGACCTGATTTAAGTCCTGGTTACTTGGTTACCATTCATGATGGCCTTCACTCATCTGTAGTCACCTGGTTCTTCTTGCTATTCCTCTAACATGCAACACATCTTCTCTATCATAGGGACCTTTGCACTTGTTATTCTCTTTGTCTGGAACACTCCTTCTGCTGTTATCTGCACAGATCACTCTCTTACTGTATTAGTTGTCTGTTCAAAGTCACCCCTTAAGAGAGACCTTCTCTAATATCACTGTCTATGTAAACAGGATTTTGACATCATTTAATTTGTCAGCTATCTCTTCTCACTTAACATTCTCTCAAAGGAGTTTATCTTTGTTGTTTACAGCTCTAGCACCTCAAAGTTCCTAACACAGTAAGTGATCAGTAGTTATTTGTTGAGGGAATGTTTGAATATGATTTCATGGTTCACTGTCACTTAATGGTTGGAAGGAGCAAGGATAATAAGAATTTGAGTCTACACATTTTAACTCAAATCTGGAATTTTCAACAATCGTATCAGCTTTCTTTCTCAAATTACACTCACAGCTACTCACAGCAGCAAAAATAATTATCATTTTCTCTCTCTCATCACAGTGTCTGGTAGAAGTTTCTATAAGAATTAAAAGATTTAAGAGACATAAAACAAAAACAAAAAAAATTCAGAAAAGCTGTATCACTGAGAGATGAATAAATAGGTTGTTTGGAATCAGGAAAAATGATCACCTCAACAAGCAGGGCCAGAGGCAGTGGGAATGTACCATGTATAAATTACACTTCAAAACCGAACACACAGAAAGGCTCAGATACGCTCTTTGGAAGCAGATTTGAATAGCCTTTTTGGTCACTGAAAGACACTTTTGATAGCTTAGAATCTAAAAATTACTCATTCTTTTGCATCTGACTCAGAATTTCCTGTTCATCTCCCCCACCCTCCATGATACGAATCAATAGCACTGTCTGGATCTGTTTTGTCACTTCATTCTATCTAAAGGGAATGGAAATTTTTACAAAGAAACATGCAACATGTATAAATATAGCACTATTTATAGTTCTCACAAATATGTGACCTACAAAACAACAGGACCTCCTGCTTGTGTACCAGCACATTAAGTTATTTTTTTTATTTATTTTTTTAGCCCACCTCCCCCCACCAGCCCGCTCTCCTTGGGCAGGGGATGGGTTAACTCAGAGCGACCTTTGAGAGCCAAGGAGGGGCCTCTGGGAACATATTAAGTTATTATCAGAAATCTCTACACATTCAAAAAATTTTGCACTTGACTAAGGAGTTTAGACAATATTTTGGTTCACGTGTGTTTCTGAGGGCAGAAAAAAGATGGAACTAGTAAATGAAGTAGAGTTTAAAACTTACAGAACACACAGGTATACCTAACAGTCTACTTCTTCTTGAAATTTTTTCATTTACTGGTACCTACATCTGAGATGCTATGAACATCACATGTGTGTGTGTTTCTATTTTTTTCCTCCCTACATCAGCTAGGAAACAAAGGATAGTTTATCCCCCCAAACTTGATGAGTGAAGCTTTCTTAAGTAAAATCTGGACATAGGCAAAATTAAAATTTTTCTCAAAATCTTGTTATTTTGGAGATTTCGTATAAAGAAAACTGAAATGTTTCATAAAATGCTTTAATTTTGCTTAAAGGAAATGTCTTTGAATAACAAACTATAAAACAAACTGATAGTAAATCAATTGTTAACACATAATCTCAATAATTCTTCCAGTTGTTATCTCTATTCCTGCATTTAACCAAGCGAAAAAGGACATAATATTAGCTATTCATAGGTTATCTCCAAATCAGTTGTGAAGAGTGACTTTTTTTTTAAAGAAAAGCTTTCTTGATGAATAACTGATATACATCAAATGTATATATTTAAAGTATACAATCATACAGTATCACAACAAGAATGCTACTCTTTTTATTGCCTTAACCAGGACAGCTCTGTAATAGAGAGGAGTGATCCTAACAGCTATTCCTCAATTTAGCACCAAGTTTAGTGAGATTCTATATTGGTCCCTTATTGCTGTTCTTCCCCAAATGCTTTTGCTTTATTAAGAAAACTGTGGGGCTGGCGCCGCGGCTCACTAGCTAATCCTCCGCCTTGCGGCGCTGGCACTCCGGGTTCTAGTTCCAGTCGGGGCGCCGGATCCTGTCCCTGTTGCCCCTCTTCCAGGCCAGCTCTCTGCTATGGTCCAGGAGTGCAGTGGAGGATGGCCCAAGTGCTTGGGCCCTGCACCCCATGGGAGACCAGGAGAAGCACCTGGCTCCTGCCATTGGATCAGCGCAGTGCGCCGGCCACAGCGCGCCGGCCGCGGCGGCCATTGGAGGGTGAACCAATGGCAAAGGAAGACCTTTCTCTCTGTCTCTCTCTCTCACTGTCCACTCTGCCTGTCAAAAAAAAAAAAAAAAAAAAAAAAAAAGAAAGAAAAAGAAAACTGTGCGGCTGGCACTGTGGTGTAATAGATAAAGCCACCACCTGTAGTGCCAGCATCCATATGGGTGCCAGTTTGAGTCCCAGCTGCTAAGGCCTGGGAAAGCAGCAGATGGCGGCCCCAGTCCTTGGGCCCCTGCACCTGCGTGGGAGACCTGGGAGAATCTCCTGTCTCCTAGCTTCAGATGGGCTCAGCTCCTGCTGTTGTGGTCATTTGGGGAGTGAACCAGTGGATGGATGACCTCTCCCTCTCCTTCTCCCTCTCCCTCGCCCCCTTCCCCCCCCCACCTCTGCCTCTCTGCAGCTCTGCCTTTCAAATAAATGAACAAACCCTTAAAAAAAAAAGGAAACTGTAATATCAAGCACAGATTTATTTTTATCAAATATCTTGTTAAAAATGATCAAAATGGGGTCATCACAAGACTATAGGAAATATAAAATGTTAAGTAAATATAACATTGCTTTAGCTAAGTGATACTTAGCAGAGCTTTCCCTAAAATAAAATATAGACTCCTTAAAAAGCATAAGCATTAAAAAATTAATAAACATTGAAACATTAATTAAGGAATAATTTTAGTGCAGTGTATTTAATTACTTGGACTCTAAACCATGGATACATTGTTTCAATCACATGGCTAGGGTTACCCAGTCTATTAATAGTTTACAGGTGTGAAACAGTGTCTGGCATATTTAATTAGGCTAAGAGTTTTTGTCAATTTTCAAGTGATTCCCATGCATTAGGTGGCACTTAAACTGAAACAACTGAATTTAAAAGGGCTTTCATAATTTGCCAGAAAAATTTAAGCAACTTCTGGTTCTCTTATAAACTACAAACTTTAAATTAATGGTTTAGCATTATCAACATCTTCTGTTCCTGCAAGGGACCTGAATGCATGACTAGGTCAGACATTGATATACTCACACTTTACTTGACATCTTTCAGTTTAAACAAAGTGAATACTCAGCTCTAATATACTATCCTAAGCACAGCAAAAGAACAATACTAACTGCTGACAAATTTGCTGAAGTATTTTGGTATGAAAATGAACTCTAAACAGCTCAAATCAGGCTTTAAGAAAATACCAGAAGACTTCTTGTAAGCTAGGAAAGATAGAATGAATAATTAACTTTTTACATAATAGGTTACTTAGTAGTAGCCTAACTCTGGCCAGTCAACAAATAATGAGAACCTGTTTGTTAAGCCTGCTCCCACTTTCAAAGGGAGAAGTTTTTCTCTTAGAAATCAAGGTTTACTATCTTATTACAGATTTAATGCCATTCCATCACTTTCCTGTTATTGTACAGCTATATGAATAATTTTAAAAGTCAAACACAAACTGTAAATACTCAGATTCTAACACCTTGTTGTTCATATAATTGGATTAATGTCTGAGAAATTAAAGTGAAAGAGAGCTAAAGGAAGAAAAACTGAAAAAGGAATATTAAAAGAAAGAATACAAAAGCATTCTACTTGATTCTAATAAAGGAAAAATAAACATCTGCCACTGGAAATGTATTAAATTATACTCTTTCATATGACATACCTTGGTCTCTGTAACTGGCCTTGATTTGGGGTTTCATCTACCCCTGGGAGACCACTGCTGGATTCAAACCTCTTTGAAGCTTCACTTCTTCTCACTATTTGTGAATAAAAAAAGAATGATAGTATAGGTGACAAAAATATGATGCAATCTTGTTTAAAACACATATAACAGACAAGGATGATAATTTACAAAATCATATCCACATAACTAAATTAATGACATACAGTTATTAAACTCTTTCAGGGTAACTCATAGGATTTTTAAAAATAATGAATTATTATCTATATGACTACGATAACTGCATTGTTATTTGATTAAACTGCTATTAAGCTCCCATAGTACTATTAAATGGGTAACAACACAGTTTAAACATTTTACACAGAATTATTCTTTTTGATAACTTATTTCAACAATACTGAAAAATAATCACGATTGTCTAAAAGAAAACTTTGGTTTATTCAGCCTAATGGTTACAAAACCAGTATCTCATATCACAGTGCCTAGGTTTGACACTTAGCTCTAGCTCCTGACTCCAGCTCCCTGCTAATGCAGGAGGCAGCTGGATGACTCAAAAAACTGGGTTTCTGCCACCTATGTGTGGGATTTGGATTGAGTTCTTGGCTCCTGGCTTTTACCTAGTCCAGTCTCAGTCTTTGTGGTCATATGGGGAGTGAACAGGAAAGTAGGAGCTCTGTCTTGCAAATAAATAAAAGCACTGTGTGTGTGTCAGATGCCTCTCACCTTGTCGGAAATCTGATTCAGAGGAAATAATGGATGGACTTTCACTCGAAGTACTAAAGATATCACTGTGGTAAGTTTTGTATCTTCGAACTGGTTCTAAAAGAATTAAAACAAAAACATTAGAAAGTAAATTCATTAGCAATTCCACACCAACCAAATAAAATAAACCTCTAATCTTGTGGGACTAGAACATTTTATACATTGTTTTAATTTACCAATTGCTGGTTTGATTCTAGCTCCCAGGCTAATGCACAGACGTAACTAGAAGGATTGGAAGGTAAGAGGTTGAGAAGATGACTACATACTATCTTTTCAAGAAATTTGACAGGGGGCAGCGTTGTACTGTAAGGAAGTTTCATGAACAATAAATAACTTTCAAAAATCTTATTAAACGAATGTGAGCGTGATTTGAAAGGATTATGACTGAAAATTTTTATTTAATAACACTTAATATTTACTGAATCTAGTACATTATATACAAGTTAAATAGAAGCACTGTTTTCAAGGGGCGGTAAAGTACTTATGTTTTAACATTGCAGAATCTAGGCAAAGTTTTTGAGTGACTTTTCCAAGGAAACTTGACCAAATTACAAACCTGGAATTGCAATGTATAAAACAATAAAACCAATAAGGTTAAAAAGACCCAAACTTATAGAGCCAAAATTATTTTAATAACTTAAAAAGAAAAGTAGGAAGTCATAATAAATCCATTCAGAAAACTGAGTACTTTTAGTCACTTTTATGTTATGTCTCACAATAACATTTTCACACTCCATATTAATAAATGAATGTAGTGTTCTCAAAACTATTTCTGCAAAGTAGCTGTAAGATCATAAATGAATTTTAATTTAATTTCCTTTCTTTGGTGGTGCTTTATTTTTTTTTTAAAGATTTATTTTTATTTATTTGAAAGGCAGAAGAAAAGGAGAGACAGAAACAGATCTTCCATATGCTGGCTTGCTCCTCAGATGGTTGCAACCAAGCCAGGAGCCAGGAGCTTCCCCCAGGTCTCCCATGTGGGTGCAGGGACCCAAGTACTTGGGCCATCCTCTGCTGCCTTCCCAGGCATACCAACAGGGAGATAGATCAGAAGTGGAGCAGCAGGCCTTGAACTGGTGCCCATATGGGATGCTGGCATCACAGGCAACAATTTGACCCACCACACCACAACGCCAGTTCCTGGTGGTGCTTTACAATGGTCTCATATTGTTTCACATGCCCACATTCCTCTCCTTAGTCTTTTTATCCCTTCAGTTTACTTGGATACCAGTAGCAAACTTTTTGCAATATCTGGGTTCCTTCTGTGAAACAAATAAATGTAATTTTGATGAACTCCTCTTAAAAATAAATCATCTTCCATTTAGCACTACTGGTCTGTCGATATGGATCACAGTACCATACCTTATAATGCTTTATTGCTTTACAGAAATAGAGCACTGGTATGCCAGAAAAAATAAATTGGATGACTAGTTGACTATGAAGGGCAGGAAGACCCTTGTCTTCTTCTCAGACTGGGGTAGGGGTATGGGGATCTATGTGAACTAAAGTAGTAGGAATCTCTCTTGGTAAGCCAGCTGTATTGTAGAATGTATCTTTTAAAATGTTGTTAGCCATGTTCCTTTCATGTCATGGCATGGCAGATACAACCAGATTAAAATTCCCGGCAATATTTACTAGTTAGCCATGTTTACAGAAAGGTATAATCGGATTAAAATTCTCAGCCAAAATTTACTACTCAATCATGCTTACAGGAAATGTTAGCCCTTGAAAGCTTAGGCTTTCATTGCTGAATTAAATAAGTTTAACTTTTTCAGGAATTCTCATACAATTTTATGTCCTTTAGCAAGAACATTTTGGATTGGCAAATATGGAGAGGCACATTTTCCATGCTTACAGATCATCTGGGCAGGAGTATTTCTTGGTTCTCTGAGATGACCTGTATGTATAGGTAGTCAGTAGACACTAATCAGATAGAAGTGGTTCTCCCTCTGTTCTGTTTTGAAGAGGAGAGTAACACCTAATTTTCAAGGAGGTGTCCCAACATTATTAACAACTTTTCTTTTCAGTGGATCCATTTATTACAGATGTTGTCTATATTTGAATGTATACTTTTAGCCTTTTAGATTTGGTCCAGATCCCAGGCATGTGGTATTAAGTGAGTAATTAAAAACAAAAAAATCTCTATTTATTATAAAAACTTCCAAACAGACCAACAAAAACAAAGAATACAGCTTCATGTACTCACAAAACCTGATCATTGCTATGTTAGCTAGAAAGTTTCAAACTACTTTTTTTTTTTTAAATCAGAAAGATGCTCCTACAAATTTATGGATTACATTTTCTGAATGCCAAAATTTTTGTGCAACAGACCTTGGTATATTAAGAATACCCAAATACATATTTCATTAATTCATATGTGGCTACCTTTATTGCAATGTTTTAACTGTATTAGCAAAATTTCAAGCTTTCACCATTCTAAGTGCAGAAGTAAACATACTTTCCTTGGATGGGATTAAATTAGTTTCAATATCAACTTGTCAGTTTGTAAAGTTCTTTTCTCAGCCTATAAATATCTAAATGAAGCCTTCAATGTACAAACCGGTGCAGTTTGGTTCATTTAGGGTTATGATTATTGCTTATTTCACTAGACAAATTCCTTCTTAACTTCCTATGAGTTCTTAGTTTTCAGATGCAGAAAATAAAGTTTCAGGAAAGAATTAGTGTCAGAGATATTAATGTATGTAAAAGTAAATGCAGTATAATTAGCATACACACGTCAACAAAAAAGAAGCACCAAATTGGGTGTGACTACATTTATAAAACACATGAAACATATATATTCTCTCCTGAAAAAGATTTCTTGGAATAGTTTTGAGAGAATGAATAGTTGTAAGGAACTAAAAAAAAATGACTTAAAGAATTAACATTTGGATAGAAACCTAGTTACAGAGATTTTGTATCACAAATTTTCTAAAAATTAAAGAAATCCTTTAATTTCTAATATTATGTAACCATAAATAATAGTACACTAATCTTGTCAGAATAGAATTATAAAAATCAGACAAATATTTTATGAACCTTTAATTGTAATCTTATCCTCTGAACAAAATTCATATGATCTCTATCATCATACCGGCTCATTTATACAGCAACAATAAAAAGAAAGGAGGTTTTTCAGTAGGCTAGTGTCTTTGATAAAAGACAGTCACAATTTCCATTACCACCTAACACACTTTGTACTTTAAACATATAAAATTGTGGCATATGGTCATGAAAACTAACTATATTTTATTTAGGAGATCAGAATCCAGTGATGAAGATTTGCATAATATTCAGGGCTTGGGGCTGGCACTGTGGCATAGTAAGTTAAGCTGCTGCCTGCAGTGCTGGCATAGCATATGGGCATTGGTTCCCTGCTGTTCCACTTCTGACCTGGCTCCCTGCTCATGGGCCTGGGAAAACAGCAGAAGACGGCCCAAGTGCTTGGGTCCCTGCACCCACGTGGGAGACCTGGAAGAAGTTCCTGGCTCCTGGCTTTGGACTGGCCCAGCTCTGGCTGTCGTGGCCACTTGGGGAGTGAACCAGAGGATGGAAGATCTATCTCCCTGTGTCTCTCCCTCTTTCAGTAACTCAGCCTTTGAAATAAAATAAATAAATCTTGAAGAAGATTTTGGGCTTACATAAAATTATTTCAGATGAAACATTTAACTCTTCAATTCCTCACATTAAAATCAATCTAAGCCAGCACAAACTGTAATCTCAAAACACATTTACTACTGACACACACTCAAGTTCAGACAAGTAATATGCAGAAAGTTAGACTTAGCCAATTGCAACAACAAAATTAAATAACTACTTTTAGCTAGGCACTTATTTCCATGACTTTAACACATGATTCAAATTGCAGATACAAATTTCAAATTCAACTGAAGTAAAATGATGTCTAATTTTGTAGCTTAGAACTTTTAAAAACCTTTTTTAAGCATATGGGTCAACCAAAGCAGACAAACACAAGTAATACAATTATGTATTCATACTTAGTGTTCTCTTCGCTTCTTTTTAAGGTATAAATTTCTAGAGATTATATCTTTTTTTATGTTTTCACTAAAGCCTACTGTCTTCTATACCACACCATGTTACAATCCATAGAATATGCTCTATAATTCTGGAGAGCTAGACATGATGAATAAAAATTTTAACCTGGATGAAAAAAGCTCATACAAGTGTGAAAGTATTTAAGGAAGGAAGTATATATGCAGAAATGCCCTGTTAATTATCAATTAGAATATAAATATAAAAGTTACAGAGAGTAAGAATGACAAAAAGATGCTGCTCAGAGGGTAGCTATGTCAAAGTCAAGCTGGGTCTATATGAGCCATGCTGTGGGTGGATTTCACTTAGGTCATTTTCTGGTAAAGTACCACATTATTTCTATGGACTGAAGTCAATATTATGTTGTTGTAAATATAGACAACGCAAAGTTTATATTGGTTTCTCCTTTAACTTTCCTTAGTGCTGAAAATGTGATTTGATTTTTCTACTTAGCTTAAAAGAGAAGTAAGTGTCTATTCTCAGGTGCATTATTATTTAAAATAAAAAATAACTTATTGTTCACCTCTTCTCAAATGCTTCTAAAACCAGTATTTCCTCAATTGAGTTTTGGTAAATACTGGACTAACTTTATATTGGGAATGGTTTAAAGCCATACTGCCCAATACAGTGGCTCCTAGGGCTCCTTTTGACTACATAAATTTAATAATAATATTCCTTTCCTCAACTGCACTAGCCATACTGCAAGGGCTTAAGAATGGTAGTCACTGAGTTGGATTGTATAGAAACAATATTTCCTCATTAAAGAAGTTCTATTGGACAATACTGGTTTAAAACATATTTCTTTAAAATCCAGCTCTGGAAACAATAATAAATACAAAATACATTGGCATCTTAGTAGCATAATGATTTCATAATTAATATTTAAAACTCATGTGATATTTGATCTTTATCACACAAAAATCTGTGCTTAGTCCTATTTGTTTCTGTGCAACTGATACAAATGAGATAGAAACTGAACATTACAATTTTTTTTTTAGTTCATG